GGAGAGAGGGTGAGGCAGAGAGAAAGATAAAGGGAGAAAGAGAGAGAAAATATCCGGCAACAGACACTTCCATGTCTTCTTAACTTTCACGATGGTCAGATTGTCAACTTAGCCAAAATAAGCTGTATAAAATAATTTCCTTTAACATTCCAAGTGAATATGTGTATGAGGAAAAATATGAATCATAAGAGAAGATGAGGGATATATGAAGAATAGGGTTAGAGAGAGCAGCGAATCATGGAGAATCATATTTATTTTTTCAGCTTCTCGTCACTGTTATAGAAGTTGAGTATACGTTGGACGGGATAGATCAGATCGTTACTTCCTTGAAAGGAAAAAAATGAAATTTCCGACTTCAAGCGCCAGCTTCATCAACACTGACTGAGCTTGGAAAAAAGGCAAATTCTTTCAATTAAGCATAAAAATATCTCATAATGTTGGAACAATGGAGAGAGAAAGAGCTTAAAATGACAAATTTCTTGCTTCCGGAAGAGGATATTTCAACAGAAAATGAACAAGCTGATGATACTTGAATGTTCAATAAAAATTCTGTAGATTACATCAATCTTTCAATGCTCAATATTACAAAACTGTCTTCATCCAAGCAAAATGCCCAGAATGCTTTGGAATTTCGAGACAAAATATCAGAAAAAACTTATTTTTGAAAGAGAAATGTTTTAGAACGAAAACGAGAGCCCATCGATGAATCTCCAGCTCTTCCTATACAAAAAGCTATGTATAATCAATGGGCTTTTTCCCATTTTATTTCTGAAAATTTCTCGAAAGATTTCATTTGAAAGTCCCCTTCATAGTAGTTTTTGTTTTTTCATACATTCAACTAAAAAGAAACTTGAGGCAAACATGATAACAAACTGATTGTTAAGCCAACTGCTAACTCATCCTGATGAGTTCTCCATCATCTTTTTGATTTCCGAGATTTCTTCTTTCTTTTCATTAAAAAATAAAGAAAACTTGGCTGATAATGAAATATGATTTTGTTGGCAGAACGGAAACAAAAGCTATGCAATGAACTTCCTTCCTCCATTCGACTTTTGATGAGAAATGTAAAAGAAGAGATAGGCCACGTCCAGAAGGATTAAGACAAGAGTTTTCTACCCTTGCTTATAGTTTTCTATATTGAAAGAAAAAGATTCATTTAAATGAAGCAATTAAGCATAAATAATCACATCTTGACTAAACGTTGAGTGCTCAGTAATTTGAAGTCAAAGTGGATCTTCAATTGTTCTTCTTCAAAGCATATTCGCCCTCACTCTTCTTCTCTTTTCAATAATATCAAGAAAAAAATGCTTCGCCTAAATTGGCCAAACGACGTGCATCCATTTCAAAATTCAGCATACGGAGCTTCGTTATACCCTCGGGGAGAGAGATGAAATCGCTCACTGGGTGGTAATCTTTCAGCTTTTTTTAGCATTTCGTTAGATCGGTCTCACAATCGAATATAAACTGCTATGAAAGAAGTAAATACCATTCCTTACGAGTATTTAAGTGAAGTTTTTGTTTCCTTTTCTTCCTTCATTTCTCTTCCTTAACAATTTCTAAGTTTTTTCTCTTCTGCAAGAGTAGAAGGTTGGAAAAACAAGAGAGGAAGCTTGAATTGCATATATAGATATCCAAAGCTCCGGTAGATGTAGAAGAAGCAGAAAACCGTTTAGAAAACGATTTTGTCGGCAAATTGAATAGCTTACTTCTAGATTTCTGTATTATATTTTTACGTTATTTTTTTCGGGTTGTTCTTAGAAAAGACCACCCGAAGCTCTGCTTCAACTTTTCGTGTTGACGAGAAATACATTGAGCTCTTGGGAGCTTTCAAGATACTCAAAAGAAAAGCAGTTCCGATAGCAATTAAAATATTTCTCTCGTTATCTTCTCACATTCTGTTCTCTATCATAAAGCGCTTCTTTTCGTTTTTTTTTGTTTCTCTTCTCAAAACGAAGCTTTGCAGCTAAAAGCTTACATTGCCTTTGTTCGCTAAAGAGAAACAAAAAGAAAAGAAAGATGATATGAATAATGGAGTCAAAATGACAAGTTAAAACATATTTTATGAACAAAGTGATTATAGTATTGATTTTCGTACATGTGTAATCAGTTCAACATGAGACTTCAATGTACAAAAAACTTCCAAATCAGAACCTGTTAGATAGTTGAGATTATGTTCATCACCCATCTATCAATACTTTCCATATAAATGTATATTCGTCTCAGCTGGTGCAACATGGAAACAAATTAGAAGCTCCTTCCTTATAGATATATCTTCTTCTTTGAACACGTTCAATTAGAACATATCAAATATGCTTTGTGATATGAACGAGAGGACAACATCTTGTTTCTTGTCATAACATGATCAAGAGAAGAAAAGTTTAACTCAACAAACTTCTGATCATAACTTCAGCTTTGAACTTGATTTGGACAAAGGGCATAGAAGAAATTAATCTGATGATGACATCTTGTAATGTTCTTGTCAGATTTCTATACACTCCTTTGAGAATATGAACTAATATAAAAATATTTTTATTCATTTTTTTGTTTCCACTTCAACGTTCCTTCATTAAGCATGAACTTTTCATGATTTACGAACATATTTTATGTGAAAAACAAATCATTTAATCGAAAAGTTCCCCTTTTTAGCTTCTTCATCCAGTCCATTCTTCAAAACCAATGTTCTGAGGCTAAGAAGATGAACAACGTCATCAGAATCTCTACAAATCTAGTCAAATAAAGTAGCTGTCGGAAGCTCAAGGAAATAAGCAAACTTGAGCAATTTTCAAAATTGAGAATTTTTGCTCCTATTTAGGTGTTTACTACTATCCGTTGTTTCAGTTACTTTCGAATTTTGATGGTTCGTTAAGTTTCTCTTTTCCATCTCGGATATAAACTTTTATGTGGATTGGGAGCATATCCATGGTACGGGAAAGGAATATTCTAATCTTTGAGCATTAGCTCTCTATCTACTTTCTTCAGTCAAATTCATCTGACTACACAGATCTTCTTCATATTTATGTGTCAGAAATGAAATCGTAGTTTAGCTTCAGAAACCAAAAAAAAGAACTCTATCACTTGACGTCATCATCAAGAATGTAAAGACTTTAGAAGTTTGATAGTTTAGTTTTCGAAACCAAAAAAGATTCCCTCCCTTTGTGAAAATATATTTTGAAGCTAGTAAACTTCGAATCTTCAAATTATATTTGAATGTAACCATATGACGACACGTACAAACGTCAAATAAGAAACTCATCAGAGTATTCAAATGTAACTAAATAAATTATTCTCATGAGAAAAAATATTTCATACTTTCAGAGCATATCAACTTATTACTTGTATAGCAAGCTTTGTTCAAGTTGAGAGCACAAAAATTAACTTTTCCCTCTCAAATAGCTTCGTTGGAGAAGCGGAAAAAGTTTTTTGCACAAAGCCACACAAAATCATGAAGTATGTACATGATCGAAAGCCAAGAAAATCCAGGTAACAACAGACTTTGGATAGTAACGATATATTAATGTTTTATGGAAAAAAAAAACACTAAAATTCGACTTTGAATGACCATAAATGAGAAAATTCTCATTCTTAAATCCATTTTAGTAGCAAATGAAATTCCTTCTCCCAACTTTTGGTTCCTTTTAGCTTCACCGAAAAAATGAAGAAAAACAAAAAGTAATGGGATTTACATGTATGGATGTCGAGAGTCAAATCGATTCACTGCCTTGATTAAATGGGTCACATCTTCTCAACCAACTAAGGCTTAACAACGAAGCAGAGAGGATTTCTATCTTCTCTCTGCTTCAATGTTTCATCTGATTCAAACCATGATTCACGACATCATCAACGTTTCTGTGGGAACAATTTCAGATGTTCGAAAAAAGCGACAATATATTTGAATGGCGCTTTAGATACGTATCCTCAAATGCCTTCGTTTTTGTTGAAAGCTTGATGATACCAATAATTGCCGCCTGTCACATTTCGTGTTCAGTTGTTTCTCTTAGATTTAGCCTTTATTATCCACATAACGTGTTTTTTCGCCTATTTTTTCGTGAACTAAGCCCATTATGACTGACAGAAAGGTAGAGTAGCTCTTTTTTCTCAATTGATAAAGTCAAAAGCTCTTCTCGAAGCAGCGAACAAAAGCTGAGAGTAGAAATAGGTAAAAGATGCTTCAGAAGATGAGATGGATTAGTTTCAAAAAGGAAAAGCAGTCGACAACGCAATAGAAGGATGTTGCCCAAGAGCTTTCACTTACACCAAAGCTTTTTGTGCATTTGAGGCACAAACAGCTGGCTCCTTTCATGAAAGAAGAAAAACCGAAACTAAAACCTTCATCATTCTCGTTATCGAAATGATATTATGCCATTTATGGGCATAAAACGAACAGAATAATGAGAATGAGTTGATTCATTACAAGAATAAAACTTTCATTTGTTTCGTTTTCAACTCCAATCTATCTCGTTCACTTTCCATCATTACATGTGGAAGCATCAGCTGCTAACTTTTCATGAGGTGAAAAGATAAGATGAGACAGGCGTAAAGAGACTAAAAACTTTTAAAAAATTCCCCATTCAACTTGAAAAGAATAAAAAATGAATTAGCTATGAAGAGAACGAAGCATATATATATATATAAAGAAAGCAACCGGTCTATGAGTCCAAAAAAGTGTGTTGGCAGAATACCCTCCAAAAACATATTCGAAAAATTTCAAAAAAAGTAAATATAAAATGCAAAGGAATTCTTCAAGTTATGTCAATTTGAAATCCAGAATTCAGCTTATACCTAACTCGTTTAAATAAATACCAGAGAAAAAAATTCAAATCGTACTTAATATAAAGTTAAGACGCTCTATGTGACACACGCAAGCACGCACAAAAAAAAACTTCTACGAAACTACGCGAGAACTGAACTCTCAAATAACTCGGAGACGACAAAAACGTAAAACATAATCGAAAATTGTACGGGAAAATGACGAGAATGAACTGAATGCTGACAGGACTTACCCATGATCATTCGATGCTATAGAGCTTGCTCGACTGACGGGTCGTAGAACCTCACGATCATCAGCAGTCGGTCGATACAAGAATGATTCACGCCGTGCATGAACCATATGCGGCTGCTGTTGAAGCATTTGCTGATGCTGCGACGGCACTAGATGACCGGCTCCAATCGGCGAGGCTGACGACGAGTGGTGATGCTGCTCCGAGCTGAACAACGGATGAACTCGCAAGCTATGCGTGACAGAACTACTGCTTGAGCAGCTCGTGGATCGGGAACAGCCCATGCCTGCGGGTGCGTTTCCCACACACGAATCGTCAATTGAAAATAACACAGAAGCCGATGATTTAGAGGTGTTTGAAACTGAACCACCGGGCTTCATATGCTTAACAGAATCTAACGATGGAGACGACGCAGACTGTGGGCCGGTTAGAGCAACAGGGGTAGGACTGACACTAGTAGTGGCCGTTGATAAATGATTAGAACTAGCACTAGGATTAGATGAATTTGAAGAAGTTGTCGTCGATGACGTATTGTTGTTGGTGGTGTTAGTGGTAGCTGCGGCGGCGGCCGCTGCAGCTGTGGACCGTCGGAATAAATTGTGTAAATGTAGTTCACGACGCAGACCGGAAAAGCCAAATCCGGAACTGCTGGAAGATACCGGATGATGTTGACCCGAAGACGAGCCAGACCCGGTACCAGCAGCTGCACCGCCGTTGCGCCGGCGCGCCATCTGAAGCTTCTGCCCCTCTATGCCATGGGGTGCGGCTGTCAGTTGACGGCCCGCCTGAGGGGGGGGGGAGGTTGTGTTGGAGAGGCCAGCAGCAACCCTTTCTTTCTTTCTCTCCTCACATACTATGCTGTCTAAAGCATTTTGGTGGTTGTTGGAAGTACCGATGTGGCTTGAGACGCAGAAAAAACACTGTTTGTCTGAATCTAGCAAAGAGCCTAGCCTTCTTCACCAGGATTCTTTCTCGTTGCCTCTATCTCATTCTTCTACTTCTTTTCTTTCTCCTCATCTTCGTTGTTATTGAGCAGTTCTTGAATATCTTTCGTTTCCTATTTCTCCAATATTCCTCTAATCTATCTATTCAGTACAGAGAACATCTTAACTATTTCCTTGTTCTCAAACTGAAAACATCTCTCCATATTTCCTAATCCACCGTTGCTCTCTACTCACCCCTCACTAGCTATTCTTATTGTCAATCTTATTTCAACCTAGAATTCTCAATTCAATAAAATCATTCTCATCACCATCATCATTATCATCATCGTCATCTTCATCTTCACCCAAGAAAATTTCAAAATGAGTAAGTTGATGGATAAAACTAAAACACCCTCACAAGCTTATGTGAATGACCATTGAAGCACAATCATATAAACATCTAACGAAGTCCTGTTTGTTTTACAAGTTCTAACAGAAGAGTCATAGAGATTTCAAATGTACTCAGTCACTTTTCAGCATAATACTTGAAAAGCTCTAATCTTAACGTTACTCGCCGGAGGCATTAATTATCCATAGAAAAAAAAGAGAGAGCGGAAAAAATTCCTTACTTACACGACCCCCCAAAGTCAATTTCTCTTCCAAAAATTTGTTATGCAAGGGATTCAAGCAGGACAAGAGATGCATGCAAGTTGAATGAAAAAGTATCGCATACCGTCTGGATCCAGGCACGAACCACACCGTGTGTCGCCGAGTTGTCATACTCTTCTTCCTTTTTTGTAAATTGATTGTATTTAACTTGTCCTCTTATAGTATATTTGCTTCAAAAACTTAGAAAAGAAATTTTGTTAAATACTATTTTCCCAGAACAATCACAAACCACGTCTTTATGTTGAAAGATTTTGCCCAAGTTGTAAGGGGTAAGTTGATAGGAGACGGACGATTTATAGTAACCTGATGATTGAAAAAGGTTAACAAGTGTGAAAGAAATCAAAAAGAATACAAACTTCAAACGAAATAATTATGAAAAATGAATTGTACGAACATTTTGTTCTACAACATACAAAATAATGCAAATTCAACTTCTTTTTTCCAGCTAAAACAACGAAAAGCTGTTCTATAAGCGTCTCAGACTTGTGTTTGCTTGAAAATACAGAAAAATGCAAACGAAAGCTCAACAACGATATCATCAGCTGTAGCTTTAAAAGCTTAAAAAGGAAATGTATAGAAAAAAACATGCAGGATGATGCATATCTGCTTTTAATAAGGCTCCATAAAGCACCACCAATCAGAATACAACTGATGAAACTTTTAACCTAATTTGGAGCAAAATCGGAAGAGCGAAAATCGAAAGATGCTTTGCTTCAACTGGCTCCGAAGAAGCCGTTTAAAAAAGGATTTTAGCTTTCAAGTCTGATTTGCAGTTTGCTTTCTTTTTGTCTCCATTTCCTCATACGAATAGAAAGAACATTTACCAAACTTTTTTTTTCAAAGTTGGACAATAGGAGAAAAGAAAAAAAACTGTAAAGCAACTAATAAACAGCTTGGAGAGTGGGAAACTCTTATCAACTCGAGACAGAGACTTTTCGATATAGTAAATCAAACCATGAACTACTAAAAGCATACTGGTTATGTAAAATTTCCAAAATTTGTATATACAAAGTGAAAATTGCTAAGACACTATGATGGAAAGCGCGAGAAGTAACCAAAATGAGGCAAAAGAAGAGAAGAAAGGTCTATAGAGATGGAGAGGAATAGTTACATGGAAAAGTTGAAAAAAAATTGATAAAAACAACACAGAATGATAAGTCAATTGAATGGAGATGGCAAAAAAGAACAAAGCATTGTACTAGTGAACCATAGGAAATGAAAGTTACATTACGAAAAGACAAAGGTTCAATTCTGAATCATGCAACGAGATTTGCTCTTTTTTGTTGAACGCCAACCAAGAAGCAAATGCAACAGAAAACGCGAAACAAACGTGTAAGGATTAATAGAAGATATCTGTTATGAACACATATCTTGCCAATTATCTTCAATTGTCAATAAAAAAGAAAGTAGAGAGGCGAGCAGAGTACAAAGAAAAAATTTCAAAAAAAAAAAGATAAATGGAACAAGTTACGCAGAAACTGCAAAAGTCAACCGCTTATTACGTAAACAACGTTTGAACTGAAAAAAAAGCGCCACGTCAACGCCACGCGCCCTCCACGTCTTACGTCAAATTAGCATAAAGAGGCTTTAGCGCGCACAACATATTTCAAAATTCAAATACTTTCAGGTTTTGAATGTTGGGATTTTGATTTTTTTTCGTTGAATGGAAATACGGACGGAGACAGCATTCGAAGTTGAACAATTAAATGGAAAAGTGGAAGGGAAAGCTGATTGGTGCAAAAGTTTTTTCCTCACAAAAATATGTTTTAATGCGTTATATAAGCTAAATGTAACAAAATAAACATTTTTTGATGAGTTATGAAGTGTAAATTAGATATAAATGGAGAGAAAAGGGAGCAAAAATAGAAAACATGAACGATTTATATGGAAACTGTGAAGAGAAATGAATTGAAAAGTGAGAAGCTTGAGAACGATATTGCGCTAAACATATTGAAGAAGGAAAGATGAGCCAAAGGAGAGAATGAGAAGAAGTAATAGAATCTGAGAGAGGCAGTAAGAGAGTAAAGTTAATTAAGAGAGAAGAAAGAGAGCTAAATGAATAGTTCAAGAGGTATCAAGAAAGAGAATGATGCAAAGCACATCGAAACAAACAAGTAATAACAGAAACAGTCAAGATGATGTCTCTCCAATACTCACACCATAGTCCAGTCTGCCCTCCCGTCCAAGCTCCTCTCAATTTTAGATTGAAAAAAGAACAAAATATTGTGAAAACGGTGGAGAGAATGCTTTAGAAGGAATTGCAAGATGTATTAAAAAGACCATATATTTGAAAGCAAAAACCTCATCATCTCAACAATTCCAATAAAATGTTACAAGAAAATAACCTTTTAAGTTGTTTGAGAAGAGAGGCAGCGAGAGATGAGAGGGATGGGGGGGGACCAGCGGACTGAATTTCATTTTATTCCTTATTCGTCATCAAAAAACGAAATTTCTTTAGCTAATCTCAACACACTCAATTTTCCTAATTTTCCGTTCATCTTTGCTTCCAAAAATTTGATTTGAAGTATTTTATTTTATTAAACTTTTCCTTTGTCATCTTACAAGAGGAACCGAAAAGTTAGTCAGAAGCAGGAGAGGCAAAAGCTTTTTTGGTCTCTAATGGATTAGCTGAGGTTACTATAGTACGTATAAAGAGAGAGAGAGAAATCATAACAAAATCCTATAAGGAACTCAATCATTCTCAAACATTTCTGAATGAAATATTCAATTCAATCTCACATACTCACATACAGACACACACACACACACACACACACACTCACATACACACTCACACAAAACAATGATTTCTTTATAAATTAAAATAAATTTCAATTGTTTGATAAACCGTTCTGCGTGACTGACTTCCTCACAGAATTTTAGAATTCACATGATGTCATCAATTTCATGAGCACGAGAATGAAGACGAGAATTCTTCCTTAATAGTTGAAGAAACTTTTGTTACGAAACAAAAATGGAGCGAAAAGTCAAATGAAAAGCTAATCAGGGCAATAAATGGAGGATTGAGTGGCATAATTTGGGGAAAATAATTTTTTTCTCATGTTTCTTCTACATTATTACCACGCTTTATAAAAAAAAAGTAATTTAAGAAAGAAACAGAGCAAGACAAAAACGAGGGAATGCTTCAGAGAGAGAAGGAAAGGAAATGCTAGAGAGGGAGAGGAAATAAGAGAGACTGATATTCAATAAGAACAAGGAAAGGAAAACTATTTGAGGAAGAGGACGTATGACCTTATTTCTACAAAGTACTCAGACGATTTTTATAGAAATACCTCTTTCTCTTAAAGCTAAGCGTATGAATAACAGCAAGTTTCCTTTTTTTTTTATTTGGACGAAACAACGTGTTATTGGAGAATGGCGATCACATAATCCCCACTAGAATAGAAAAAAGGGTGAACTAAAAGAGACAGATGACGATGAGAGAAAAAGCTGGCTTGAAGCTGCTCAAATGGCTCTGACTAAGCCAATGAATGTCACAGATATCATTATCGTCTCTAGAAACATGTTTTTCTTGTATTCTTACCACACACAAAAAAAGAAGAAGAAGTATTACAAAATTAATGGAAAGCGCATAAGAAAGAAGGGGAGAAAGTTTTAGAGAGCTTTTGCTCCCTCCAAAGCTGCAAAATAGGCCAGGAATGGGCAGTAAAGCAGAAAATGAGAAACGCTCTGGGAACAGGTGAAGAAGAATGTCTGAGAGTATTTCAAAAAAAAAAGCTGAGGAAGCTGCTCAAAAAAGGGAGAGGTTTGACTAAAAAAGGAGCAATTGAGGAAAGAGAAAGCTAATGAAAGCTCTTGTTAATCAAAGTTTGCCTACGGATCAAAAGAATAATTGAAGAGTAGAACATGAGAGAAATGAATTGAAGCGTATTCGATTCATTTCAGCTTCAAACCTTTGCTAGCAGGTAAATGGGCTTAATAGGGCTGTACAGCTGAGATGCACACATATTAGGAAAGAACAAAAAGATTTCACTCAAAACAATAATTAGATGAAGTTGAAGTTGAAAAAAGCCGAAAAATATGTGAATGAGAAGGAACAAATTGAAGTAAAGCTTCGAAAAATGAGAAAATGTAGTCAAATAATGCCAGACCAAGTGAATTTAAGGCTTAAATGACATGTGAATCGAATGAAATTTCTAAAAAAGCTTATTCTATTTCTTCAGTTTTACTCTCCTTTTCCTTGTAGAATGAATAGGCAGACTGGCAAGTTAGCATTTTCCTTTTCAAACTCAAATCGTTCTTCTTCTATTTTTTTTAGGAAATTCGAAGAGAGAGAGAGATGAAAAAAATGAAAAATGAGCGAATGAATTGCATAGCACAGACACAACCGCTTTCTACGTCAGGCAATTCGGAATGAAAATGTGTCCAGATGAGATTTGAAGTGAAATCTTTCTGTTAAAATGAGAAAATTATTTGCCAAAAAATGAATTAAAGAAAAAAGGGCATATGAACGTGCTCAACGAGTGAGGAGAAGATGATAGAGGGAGGGGGAACCCAGAGAAAGCCCTTAGATGGAGAGAGATTCCTTTTCTCTACAGATCAGTTTTCAAGACTTCCTTGAAGAGTCTATCCAACTTGACTCTAAATGTCTGTTGAGAATTCCAAATTTTGAGAAATTCGATCTGATATAGTGCTTGTGCTTATTCATTCATCCGTACTCGTCACCAGATCTTCCGGAATTTTTAGTCCGATTCATGTGACTTCAGCGATTAGAAGGTTAAAAAAAAGAATAACTTAAGCGGAATTTGTTAATTTCTAACCGGTAGAGGAAATGCGTTACGGTGAGCTAGGTGGATTGGAGAGAGAAAGTAAAAAGCTGGCAGAAGAGCGAAATAGACTAATTGTGAAGAAGACAACTATGATTGTTCTCATTACAAACAACAAAAATCCATTAAATGAACGGGAAAATATAATTGATTAGAGAAGCTAACATATCACCCGAAATCTCATAAGAAAGCTGTATCTTGACGAGGAGACGGACAAAGTTAATGTGAAGAAGAGCTTAAAAATGTTAGAGGAATTAGGGGTGCTGGCCGAGAGAGTGAGAGAGGAGAACTATTTTTTAGTTCCAAAGGATTAGAATTATGTTTTTTTTGCTTCGTCCAATCTCTTGCTTCTCTGAGGATCTTCGGAAAATCTCGGAAACCAACCCACAAAAGCGAAAATCAAAGATACATTTGCATATACCTCATTGATCTGCTTTCAGGAGATAAACAGTTGGAGTGAGAAAAAATACAACGAATTATCAGAATTCAAAAATAAAGAAATCTGTACAGACATGAATAGAAATACTTTGCATAAATTCAAACAACTATCGCAGTGTCCAGATGATTTCTTGCTCAGCACATTTCGATGACGAAATTTGCAGATTGGCGGCTCCGTTATTTATTAAATACAAGATTGTGCTCAAACGATCTTCATCGTTATTAAAATAACAACTTTTCAGATATTTTCTTGTTCTCACTTCCTTTCTACCTCCTTCACGTCACCAAAACTTTCACGCACAGTATCTGCCCAGTAAACCCAACAAGAAACTCTCAATTACAACAACCATTTGTGAAATGAAAAATGCCTTTAGGCTATATACTTACAACACCACCAACAACATTTTAGTCAATCCCCCTGTTGCTCAAACCCCATATCCACGAAATGCAAAAGTAAAAAAGGAACGTACCATTCTGGCAGGGGCGAAGCTGTACTAGCCCATGGACGAGTCTTCCACTGCTTACGACGTGATGTCAACCCATTCATTGGCCGCCCATCAGACCTGAAAAGAAAAAAAATCATTTTATATATATATATCAACAATGAACAAGGAGATGTCTAAATCTCACTCATCTAATATGAAATGTGGGAAACAGTTGTAGTTTGTGAAAAATCGATATGAAAAAAGAAAAAAAGGAACAATTTCGATTTAATTTGTTAAGATTAGGGAATGAGAGCTTCTTCACTAGTGGCACGTTGAAACAAAACTACAAAAAAAGAATTATATTTCCCTTTTTGTCAGAGGAAGCACCGGGATTTGCAGGAATAAAGTAACAATAACATCCTTATACGGAATATCTTTGAATTTCCGAAAAAAAAACCTTCTTGACCAATCAACAAAATGAGAATAACTGTTATACACGTATGAGCAGCTTAAAAAACAAAGAAAAAAGAAATAAAATTAGAATTTAGATGAAATAAAACAAGATTCACATTTTCCATAAGGATTACATTACAAAATTTGTTCTCCTAATCTATGCCCCTAGAACGTTATAGTAAGGAGTAGCCGACGTGAACGAGGAAATTGAGAAGGAAAGATCGAACGGTTGGTCAGCTGAACAAGGTGACGTCGAAACATGGCACGTGCCTTCACGCGCTAATAGTGAAAAGTGCACGTGAAATATGAGAACAAGCGATATAATAGGAAATTGTGAAAGTTCCAAATAAAATTATTTTCATTGAAAATTTATATTTTCGGCTATCAGGGCTGGTCAAGAAAGGAAGTGAGTTGTCAGTCCATCAATCCACATCTTATAATACAAGCGTTCCATCCAAGAAAAATAGTTGTTTGACCAGATAACAAAAATTATTTTTTTCTTGCCGCGTATTGATTGAATATAAAGTAACATAATAAAAGTAATAATGAAGGAAGAGAGATGGTAATGCAAACTTTTTAATGGAATTAAGCAATGAATAAGACAAAAACTAATCTTGAGCTTCTCTTCAAGCAACGGATAATTGAAGAAGCTTTGAACGACAACACAGACAAACATAAAGAAACTTCAGATTTCTTTAGTAATTTATTCTAATTACGAAAAAGGGATTGATTGCTTTCGACACTTTTAAGAGGAAGGAGACGAAGGAAAAAAAGGAAGAGAAAAATGGAAGAAGCCAACAGATGATAATCTTCTCTTCCATGCCAAGCAAGTAGCACGTGGAGCCAATGAGAGAAGCATCTTTGTATAGCCATATAGTTTAATATAATCCTGATAATCTTAATGAATAGCACAAGAGACGAGCAACAAAAAAACTTTTACAAAAGAAATGTTTTAATATTTCATTCTGCGCACAGAAAAAATCTTTTTTTTTCTCATTCACAGACTCATTTTTTTTTGCTCGAAAATGAGTTTCATTCTGACGTTCCTGAACATATTTGTTTGTGAGAGAAAAAGATTTTCCAAAAATATTTCTTCGAAAATTTGAAGAAGAGAAGCGACTGGCTACTGAAATTATGGAAAAGCTCAAGAAAAGGAACAAAGCTCAGACAATCCTTTTAAGATTTTGGTGATTGCCCCAGGTTGTGGCTCGAAATTTCATTCTTTCATCAAAGCTTTTTCTTCTCTTCTATTTACTTCTTATCTATCAGCTACTTCATATGCTAATTTCTTTGGGTTCTTATTATGAAAAACAAGTTTACAGAAGATGGGAGGAGGAGAGGGAAGGGGGAGGGGAGAAGAGAGAAGGGAGTAGAGATGTCGTGAAAAATCTTCAAAAATGAAAAGGAAAATAGCAAAAAAAGAAAGGCAAGTTGACTCATGCAGTTCTTTAAGATAATTAAGTGTTGTTGACCCAGTAAGGAAAAAAGGGGAATATGCTATACTTGTGTGATAGCTTTTCCTTATGTGTTCCTTAAACAACTGAATATAAATAGCCTGAGAAAGACGCCAAATATTCGCATAAATGTTTAGAGAGGAAAAAGATTAAGAATAACATGACTGAAGAGAAACACACACAAAATAGTGCGGAATATAAGAAAACTTGAGGAGAAAAGGAATTTTTTTTGACAGCAAAAGATACATTGACACCCATTAAAAGAAGAATTTGGACAGAAACATATTCCGGAACTAACATGGAGCTTATCAAATGACCGCTTTCGAGCATTGTAAACCATTTTTAGCTGATGGAATGAAAAAGAGAACAATTTATATTATGAAACATTCTCTATCCACAAACAACCAATGCAACCAGTTCCGAGAGACGTCAATAATCAAATGGTCGGGCAGTTACGTGGAAACGGTTAATGACGTTTCACGTGGACTTTTGACGTAGTTCTCTTCAGTGAATGTTGTTACGTCATCCGCAGAGAGAGAGGAAAAAAATTTTTTTCCATAAAACCTTTTATATAATCCCAAAACTTAGTAATTGCATGTTGTAAGAATTATTTATTTTTGAAGTTTTGTAAGTCTTCAAGATTAATGTGAACTTCCTCAGAAGTTCCATTGATGAAGTTCCGCTTTCCAGAGTATCTCATTTTAAATTTTTGAGCCAAAAAAAATGAATTGAATTTAATCGCCAAGAATTTCAGTGCGTGCGTGTGTGAAAGCTTCATGTGAGCCATTAACTTTCCTTTAAAGCTGATATTGTTGAAAAATCGCTGGAATCAGGCATAAACCAGGATGAAGAGCTCATGCTTTGTGATGATACAGAGAGAAGGAGAGCAAAAAAGAGAGAGGGAGAGGGGAAGAGAGAGAGAAAGAAAGAGAGAGAGAGAGAGAGAGAGTGAACAGAAAAAGGGAGTAGCCGGAAAAATAAGTGTTGAGTGTTCTTTGAACTCTTTTTTTTGTGTATGTGCGTTGAAATAAAACAATGGATCATACACACATATGCTTCTATCCTCAATTGATGTGAAGTTGATCAGTGGATTGAGATAAATATAAGTTCATATAGAGGGGAGAGATAAAGCTCGATGAAAAGCTTCGAGAGCTAGAGAGGGAGAGCACATGTCCAGACCTTCAAGTTATATCTTTCTCTCATCTTCAAACTTCAACTTCATCATCAACTTTTGTCTTCTTATTCTAAACCAAAAACTTGAATGCAATCAATTAAACGCCACGGCTGACAGCCAAAATATTTGTTTCGCCCCGTATAATTTGTGGAGCAAAAAATATTTCGAATTAATTGAATAAAAATTAAGAAAGAGCTTAAAGCTGATTGAATCGGATCAATTGTGTGTTAAAATAAGAGTAAGAAAACGTGGATGAGTTGTATGCAAACAAGGTGAATCAGTAATGAGCACAATAACTTCCATAAAAGCTTCAAAGAAAACTTAGCAAGTGGATGAAATCGGTTATGACAGAAAGAAATAAGTTACTTTTTTTATTTCCAAAGCAATATGAGCCTTTGTTTCCATTGAAAAAAAATAAGCAGAAAAGCAGTACCTGTGGGAGGAATTGGAGAGATGAGCTCCAATTTTGGCTAGTAGTAACTGGAGATGAGTAACAGATAGATGAAAGAATATTTGCACCTTGACGTGCTCAGGAGAATACAGAAGATAGTCGTCAATCGCGACGGCCATTAATTCATGACCAACAATCGCGATGACGACTTGACGAACGTCAACTCGTAGTTACGTCTTCTATTTCGTCGTGTCTTCGTCGAGCGGATATGGGGAATAGTTCAATCCTCGTGAGTTACTTCGCTTCACTTTCAACTTCTCAGAAAATTTTCTGAATGGGAATGAAGCTCAGACAGTGGTCGTTGAAGTAGACCTTCTGATACTTCCAATTATCTCGATTTTCTTTAGAAGATAATTGGCTTGCTTCAACGTCAGAATAAATAAAAAAAAATTCTGAATCGTGTAGTTGTCTAAGAAGGCGAGAAGTTGAAATATACGAGAGGTAAAACTTACGGAAGGAAAAGCTCACGAGGACGGCTTCAAACCAAAGAGAGACACGATCGACTGCAGAAGACTGCGAAGAGAATAGAAGGAAAAATGAAGAGAGAACAAAAAAGAGGCTGCGAATAGAAGAGGGAGGTGGAAGACGAAGGAGGAGGAGTAGGAGGAGGAGAACTTGACAACAGGAGAATGTCTGGGGTTAGTTCAGACGATGAGAGGAAGAGAGAACGAGATGTTGAGCTGCTGGGTCAAACCAGGCTCAATGGATAGGCCGTTTTGAGGCACCCTTTGGCTTCTCTCTTTCATTCTCTTTCTATTTTTTCAAAATTTCCTCTCTCTGCTTCTCTTGCTTATTCTATAGACTCTTTTTGCTAACATAACATGAAAAGAAATGATAGATAGATATATAAAGAGGAAAGAGCAGAGAAAGAGAGAGCAAAACAGAAAGAGAGATAGGGAGGGAGGAAGGTCAGCATGAAAGAAAAAAAGATGAGAAGTCAACTGAAAGAACTTGAGAGATAGAAAAAAATGGAGAGGAAAAGAGAGAAAGAAAAAGATGAAGGGAGAGAAAGAGAGAGAGATTCAGTTTGAAGCTATAAAATTTGATGGTTCATAAAGCTTTAAACAAGTGTGAGTAAGAGATAAATCTTTTTTAATCTTTTTTCCCATTCTTCTTTTCAGGTGAAATTTAATATAATGAACATATCTTCCTCATCTTTTTTTTGCAAATTCATACTTCCCCGTGTACTTTGGGGAGTTCACTGTTCAATCCAATCGTTCAAATCTTTCTATTTTTCCTATTTTTCACATCAAAAAAGAAAAAAAGAAGAGAAGTGAGAACATTTTTGGAATAGCTGATGTGAAAATGTTTCCAAAAAGCAAAGCATTTTCAATTTTTCGTTTTGCTCATCTCTGTCTCTGTCTTCTTCCTCTCCTTCTTCATCAAAAACGTGGAAAGTTGAGAAAGTGAGTCTGTTGAGATTTATTGTTAAGTTTTCTTTTTGCTTATAAGGAAGATAAATCGACTGAGCAGTTCAAGCTTTTTTCAAAATGTATGTGTGTATGTGCCATGTGAGAAAAAAGAAGCTCAAGGAGGCAGTCAGATTTTCGTTTCGGAAGAAGAAACAGACGAAAAAAAGTTTTAAAACCAAAAGAAGAAAAAGATGAAAAGCAAAGAAGGCAAAGAAAACATAAGGAAAAGTAAGAGATAGTCCAGTGTATCTATTCATATATTCCATATAAGTATCTTTTTACAAATTGATTGGAATAATAATTTCTTCCTCACAGCTTCGTTTTTTGTCTTTCGAGAGTGAAGTTCGGAAGAAAACAAATCTTAAATTATGAGTAAGAACAGGTTTTATATCTAGTTAATTATCTTATAAAGTTATGTAAACAAGCTAATTATGCGAAAGAGGGAAAGAGGGGACGAGCGACATGGATGAGAGACGAAGTCAAAGGAATAAATATGAAATATAACTTCTAACTTAATTATTTTCTAGAAGAAATATAAGAAAATATATTATTCTTCAACTACACAACGACTTTCAACTAAACAATTCTTCTTCTAACACAAATTTTGCAAAAGCAGATTATGCAAATGAACATGAAGATGCTTCCCCCTTATGCTAATCAATTGACACATGCTTGTTCTTCTCATGTATTTAAAGCGTCCGAAAAAAAGCAATCCACGTGGATGACGTACGTCATTTGACGTAAATCATAAGCGTGAAGCTTCAACCTTCATCAATCTGCTTATTTTCAATTACTGCTGATGAGTAGAACGGTTGTTAACACAAGTCATGAGGAGAGAGAGAGAGAGGAAGGGAGGAAGAGAGAGAGTGAGGAAGGGCGTCCAGAGGTAGCTGAGGAGCAGGACAGAGCTAGTTAGAACAATGCAAACCTATTGTGAACAACGCAACATGTAAGATATAATATAAAAACCAAACACATCAAATACTAAACTATTCAATTTGAATAATTGCATACCGTATAGATAGCTTAAGCATCTGTGCTTTTGTGAAATCAATGAAATTGGCCACTCCAACAAATCTATGAAGAGAAGAATTTCACGAAATTTGAAACAATTAAATTAAAAAATGAAATTGTTCTTAAAATGAAATTAACAAGAAAATTAGAAATAGAGCAGCTTTTGAATCAACTTTTTCTTCATCGAAGTTTAATAGAAGGCCATCACAAGCAAAAAAGGAGATTTTTTTAATTAAACTCAAAGATGGAAATGATCACTTTTCAAATTTGATTGCAGACAGTCATACATACGTTTTTAGCAAAAAAAAAGCGAAATGTAAAATCTTCTTAATTAGAAGACGAAATACTTATAAGGGAGTAAGAGGCAGAGCTCAATGTTCAGTCATCACCACACATGGAGACATACGTCTTCAACCCTTCACATCGAGAAATTTGAGATTTCAATTAAGAATAAAGTTGATTCAGCTATCAAGTGATGAAATTAAAACAAAATCTGTGAAGGTGAAGAGGAAATGGATCGGATTGAAGCTTGAATCCACGACGTCACTAACAGATGAATTCGTTTTTCCAGTGGAAAAAGAAAACAAAAAGAGACGTGAGCAGGTGTTGAAAACAATTTCGAAGATAAAAAACAAGAAAATCAACAGATAAAAAGATTTTTTTTTGTTGAAAGACGAGAAGAATGCTGGATGAAAAAATGATTTTTCTGCCTTCTCGTTTGTCGAATGAGCAGAAAAAAGTTGTGATTGAATTGAATCGAAGAACGTTTTGACAAGCACAGACTTCCTCAAACCAACTTTTGTTGTGAAAAACAAGTGATGGAAAAGCTTGGATTGTCAGGAAAATTCCATTTTTGTACGGAAATCCTTTGACAAACTCATTTTGTGTGAGCTTGTTTGATATTTTTCATATCATTGCATTCATAAATAAGGATTGACAGGATGGATTGGTTGCCAGGTTCAGCGACAATTCTCAGCTTTCCGTGCACTTGGGAGAGCTTACCCTATACGAGAAGCTTGCTAAGGAGAATGAAATAATTAACTTTCTCTTTTGCTTCTTCTGAAGAGTTATTCTAAAGGAACAAAAGTTCTTCATGTTAATTCGAAATAATCGACGATCAACTGCGACACGAGAAAATAAAACAGTCACAGCAAACTTCGAAGCTTAAAGACCGGAGACGAATTGTTGAACAACGGAAAAGCAATAAAAAATCAGAAGAAATACATTTTTTATAAAGTAAAAGAGCCTAGATGGAAGCAGTTAAGATTTAGGAAAAGAAATGATTAAAGTTGCAAGAGATGAAAATGAGAGCGCAGATGGAAATTCAAACGAGCAATGAGTGTGAAGAGTTCAAAGAGATAGAGAGAGGAAAGGCGAGAGAGATTAGCACATTGGAAGAGAGAGAGAGAAGATAATGATGATGATGAGATGAAGATAGCAGAGAAGAGGCGTTGATGAAAATTTACAAATTTGGCTAACAAACCCGAGTAGAAGTAAAGCATCTAGTCAAAAAGAAATAGAATGATGAGCGAATGAAATCTGAATCTACAATGAAACAACAACGTTTGGATCCATAGATGAACAACATTGTCGAAACACTTCGATACTCACCTACTTTCTAGATTATCCTCTCGAAATAAGAAAACTTAGAGTCTAAGCAATTGGCGACAACGACAACATGTGAAGTTTTCTCACTTTTACTTACTTAGTCTTGGTCGAAAAGAAAAAAATCTCACGAAATCTGCGATTAAGGAAGTGCCCAAAGAAGATTGTGGGCAGCAGAAGAAAGAGCGCGGAAATATAAAAAAGGAAAGAAAAGCCATTCACTAGGTGGATTTTCAACGACTCCAAAGCTTCTATTATTGAAACAATTTAGTCAAAAATAGATCTTTCGGACGTTTAGCAGCTTACATTTAAAAAAAATAATAATGTCAAGCCTATCATCAAGCGTGTGACTTCTGAATTCTACTTTTTCCACCATATTTCCTTCTTTCCCATTTATTTTCTTACATGGTAAGCAGTTAGAAATGAGATGAGTTCTTTCCAAAAACACTCGGCGTTAATTTTCCATAAGCTTTACAGCGTATAGCTTACTACTCGTTAGGACCGCACCCAAACCGAATCGCTTCAACGCTTTTTAAAGAAAAATTTTATGATCTTGCTTCTCTGCAAGCTGAACCTGATGCTTACATAGTCTCTGATAAGAATGTGCGGGTGTATTCTGTACCCAGTTCACAAAACGAAAGAGAATAAGAACAGAACGAAAGCGAAAAAGATAATTTTTGAGTGCCAACCGATCTTTACGTCACAATTAAGTAATGTGTTTCACGTGAAACTGTTGTTCAAGATATGACGTTCCACGTGTATAATCACGTAAAGCATAATGAACCAATGATGTAACATCCGATAGCTGTTCTGCATAATTACGTCATAACTAGTATTTAAATAAACGTAATAATAAGTGAATTATATGAAAGATGTGTGGCTCTGTCTCAATTACAGCTTTCAGTTGAATCTCATTCTATGAAATCAAGTGTAGATTTGGAATCGTTGAGAAATGCGACATTATAATCTACTAACTTGACTGGTTTAATTATTACGAGAAGATGACAAGCCTTTAAAAAGCTTGATAAGAACATTTCTGATTAAACTTTCTGACATCGGATCATACAGGGAAATGGAAAATGATCCGATTAAACAGTACAATAAGCTAATATATATCGATAAATAGGAACCAATCGATGAGTGCAACCTATGAAGTGTTACATAATCGAGCAAAAGTTGAAATATTTAACCATTTCAGCATATATTACATGAATTTCCTCAAATGCTTCCTTTCCATCTTTTTCTGCGCATCAGAAGCATCAAGAAGAGAGAGGTTTCAAGTAACATTTCGTGACATGAAGGAGAATTCTAACTGACAAGTCCAACTATATTCCAAGTCCATAACAAAAAACAAAAACGAATGGCAATCGCACCACAAATGAGATAAAGAACTGACCTGTATTGGAAAACATCTGATTGACGACGCAAAATTCTGAAGCGATTCTTCGGAGTGTGTTCAGCATTGTCGATAGAGTTGGTTGATGAGGTGATATCAAAAGTTGATGATAGTGGTGATATTGGAGGCGAACACTCATAAGAGGACGAGAACGAATCTTGATGTAGTTTGTTTGGCACAGTATATAATTGATGCATACTTTCCTTCGATTTCTACCTTTCGCTTTCGTTTTCCAATTTCCAACTCTGAAATGTAACAAAGAAATAGAAGGAAATAGAAATTCATACAAACATATAAAGCTATTTTCTTATTGATTTTTCTTTTAAAATATAATAATTAAATATATATTTTAAAAGGCAATCATCACATTCTACTGAAATGGCAAAGAACCCAAGTGACTCCGCCCTGAACTGACGTTATCGCTTATCACTCAATTTGCCAATTTGCGAATGTTTTAAGAACACAAAAAAAATATTAGAAGAAACATAATAAATAATGACAATTAAAGAAACAACGGTAGGCTTATTGATAAGGCTAAAAGATTCGCTGCAGTGGTTCCGAAGTGTGATTGGTGAGAAAGGAAGTAAAAAAAAGAAAGAAAAACAACAAAAAAGCCATACGATACAGACAGATTGCAGGAAAATCACTTCTTGTGATCTTAAAAAGGAAATGGTAAGAGAGTACGTGAAGGGAGCCGATTGGAAGAAAATTGAAAAACTACAAAATACAATTCTTGACAAAACTCCTTTCCATATATTTCCATAAAAGGTGTCCTTTGTAATTTGAGAGAAACACGAAATGACACCTTGCACACCTTTTTATGGAAATTTTTATTAAAAAAGAGCTTCGTTTTATTTATTTTCTTTCTTGTCAATTCAAAAACGAAATGAAAGACATATCGAATAACATTAAAAACTTAGACAGAATCAACCAATGAATATTTCCAAGAAAAACGGAAACATATGGTTGAGTTAAATAAAAATTGTTTGAAATTACACTTACAAACGATTGAAAAAAGAAAGGATGTAAAATTTATTTTTTCTTCTTTCCAAGGAGAAGCTAAAGCTCAATCGTATTTACTTGCTTGTTTTCTCAACTGACTTGGAATGAAAGGACATTTATGAGCAAGTATGTCATGAAATGTTTAATATACATTAAATATGAAAAGAAGAGACAAATGCAAAATTCACAAAAACCAAAGAAAAAAGTCAGACAGACAGAGGGTTCTATAGTTCACAAATACCAAAAATGAACGCAACTATTGACTAATTCTATAGAAAAGATATAAAGTAGAGGCTTATCACCCAAAAAAAAGAATCAAAAAACATTGGAAAGACAATTGGGAATTTCATTCAGTTCATCGCAGAGATTCATCTCAACCTCGTGTTCATCCCTTTTCACTGAGAATTATGCAAAAACGTGAAAATGTCAAAGTTAAACAAAACTAGATGAGGAAAATCCTTTCCATAGATGCTTTTTTATGAAACCCTAAACAGTCGTTATACTATTCAAGAACAAGAACAAGCTTTCAGGAGAATCCTCATAGCTGCATATCCCTCTACTTCAAACATGACATAGCGCTCAAGGATAACCCCGGTTTGGATACATCTGACTGACCGCTCAACACCTTCTCAAAATGAATTTGTAAGAAACAGCCGCAAAGCAGAAAAATAAAAACACGAATGAACTCGTTCGAGTTCCATTTTCTTCTCGAACGATTCTGATGTAGCGATCGTTGTTAAACTCATTTATGACAGAACTCACACGATCCGTGAAAGCCAGCTTTGTACTTTTTTTTCCTCCAAAAGCTCATCCAACACCTCACACATTGAAAAATAAATTAGAAAAAGAGAAGAAGAATCATCCGAACACTTTTCAACTACAAAAGCAATAAAAAAAATCTTTTCTTGGCTTAAACTCTCAAATGAACAATTTGTATCCAATAATCGTAGGCTCTGAAGTGTAAACTCATAACACTTTTTGTTTTTCAAAATTCGTGAAGAATGAATTTCATTCAGAATTAAAATATAATATGAGTTGAAGAGAAAAGAAGGACCACATCGCTATTAATTAAACAATTGAAGACAAACCACAATTAATATTAAAATTACGATATACAGTAATCATAGAGGTGTGAAGATGAATTCTTACATATAGCATGTCTGAGAACATGGATCTCATTCAATTGACCCCTTCCGCCGCTCTGTAGATCATTTGATTTCTTTTCTGTTCGAGATCAAACTGTATAACTTTGAATATTTGATCTCATGTCCTTTTGCGTATGAATTATAATTTTTTGATAATTGCGGTAAATTCAAAAATGTATTTATTTGTAGAGCATATTTATTTATTCAAATTTAAATATATTTGTATTTGCGATAGATATGTTTCCCTGAAATTCGAATGAAAAAAGAGTCTCCATCTTATTATTCTGAAATCATAGGCTTTGCATTTCTAATAATTTTTTGATAAGATTTTAATGATTATGAACAAAAAATTTCAATTCAGCATTTTATGTGCGCAGTTTTATTGTTTTTCGGTCAAACAGCAGACGTGGCTTCATTAGCATACATTTTTTGATATGCTAATTTGAGTTAAAAGAGCTCAACGTAGCATTTGCGTAACGAAAAAGCATAAAAATGAAGGAGAGAAAGAAATTTTCATTTCATTGAGCGAACAGTTTGAAACTGGTTGGTTTCTTTTCATCGACGCCAACTCGAAAATTATTTGCTCAGAAGGGATTCCTGTTTGTTTTAAGGTATTTGTTTTTGAATTTTTTTTCTCTGAGTCTTTAACGCGTTAACATTTTAAGAGAGTTTTCCCTTTTTTTTTTGGATTGGCTGTGTTCTGGTGGTTGTGGTAGAGGAGATTGTGCTGAGTCTTTCGCTCTCTTCTTCTCCTTCTCCTGCAAACACAGCATTAATCTATCCTTTTGGGAATCTTAATGTTCAGTCGATGTCTCTATCTGGATGATAAAAAGTAACAATAAAGATTAAAATAATTCTTTATCAAAGGAGAACTTACAGGTCACCAATAGTCGCATCATTTCATTGAAATTCAAATTAATACAAACTTCACAAAAACCAAAATGGCACAACAACTTCATTTCAAGTTAGTTTCAATGTTATTTTCTTTATAATTCATAAACTGGAAGCTGAGTTTGTGAACTCAAGTTGCGGATGGGGGGATGAAGTTCTTTTTCATTTTCGTTCTCATTCTCCCTCTCTCTATCTATCGTTCTCTTCCTTTCTCTGTCCGTCTGCTCCTCTATGACGTCAATTGTATCTAAGGTCTACTTTGATCTATTCCCCTCTTCATTTTCTTAATTTGAAGACCTGTTCATACAGGTTTAATTGGAATAGTAAAAGCATGGAACTTGTTATGTCTTGATAGCTACTAGTTACTCAAGCTTATAAGCCATAATATTCATGTTTCGCGTTCGAAATGAGAAATGAAGAACAGAAATGAAAAGTCAAAGTTCTTTGAGCTTAATGAATTTCTCCATTTTTTTCTTTTCGATCGTTCATGTCTTAAACGGTTTTTTCGTTGCCCACAAGTTATTCTGTCGTTAAGTAAAACCTTATTGAATAAGAATTTATCAGAAAAAATGAAAAAAGGAAGGGGGGAATGTTGTGCGAGAAACCTATCGTTTGGGTCACCATGAATGACATCATAGTAAGTGATGTCATTTGAACAAAACGAGAGGAGGCACATAAAAGATTGCTATAAAGCATGATGCATATAAGAGAAATAGACATATTGCCAGCATAATGAAATAGTGTTGATATCGGAGAGATAATACTCTGAATCTCTTACCTCTTTGTTATGTTTCTCAATGGACACACTGTCTCTCACTCTATGTCTCCTTCCCTCTAAACACAATAATCCGCACTATTCTCAGTTTTCTGTCTCCTCTCTTCTTTCTCTCTCCCTCCCCCCACCCTTACATCCCCCCAATCTACAGACAAATTCTATTCAATCAATAGTTTAATAAGGATTTTTACTTAAATAGCTTATTATCTATAATATATATTGTGTATGAAAATGTTCTCGTTTACCAGGTTAGTATTGCATTTTTTATTTGAAAAATATAATCATATTGAATATATGTTATGTGCTAAGGGGGATTAATTGATGAAGCATCCTAATGACGAGTAACATTTCATGATATGAAAGCCTAAGCTTCCTAAAGAACCATAGAACGTCTCTTCTTCATATTCATATGCTGTGACGAAATTTTAAAATATTTTATTCTCTCTCATCAATTACTCTTGCAAACGTCTTTCGCGTTCAATGTTATGATGTCAAGTTCTTTAAAGAGCTCATGAAATCATTTTCATTGGAATATTCGATGATAGTCGGTGAATTCATGGAATAGTTCGATTACATGCGTTCCTGTTCCTCTTCATCTATCCGTGTATTCGTATTGCTGGAATGCTTTGATATCGTAAAGCTTATTGAAGCCTCGTTTGATTTCTGTATTGAATGGATGTTTGAATAAGAGAGAATCTTTTGTTTCCTTCATGATTTCCAAAGGACTGTTTTGTTTTGAATCATCATCACCATCAATCTCCAATTGTCCCGTCTGCAATGTCTTTTTTGGATATTTGAATGAAAATTTCAAAGACAGGTGTTCTGTATATTTTGGCAAACATTCAGTATTTACTACAAGATTTTGTATATACGGATGGCTTGAATGTCCTGAATGGAATGTTGAAAGATTGGAACGAAATGATTCTTCAAGAACTTGAATGAATGAATTTTTGAAAATGATCGTATCATTTGAACGACAAAAATGTTCATTTTGTTGTGAAAAGATGAGAGATATAATATGAGAATACAGTACGTTGCTATCGTTTTGTTTTCTTCGTCTTATTCAACAAGTAAGAAATGAACTGAAATTGAAAGAAGATTCGCTTTTTGATACACATCTTCTCAATATACGGCTGAACGGCATAAAGCCTTTTCCGGATTTTAAAGCCTCAATGATTCCGTTATTGATGTTTGAGACAATGAAGTCATAAGCGGAACAGCTCTTTATTACAAAGCAAATATTTAGCGTAATCATAAGGGGTTTTAATCCCTTTTTTTAGAACAAAAAAAAATATATCCTTTCCACTCCTTCTCTTGTAGAAGAAAAAGCAAAAACAGAATAAGAGCTTAGAGGCTCTTCTCATTGACATAGCTTGTAGGCTCAGTTGTCCTCAGCTATTGTATTCACACCTCAAACTTGACGTCGCAAATTCTTGATGCTATTGATATTATTTTTTGAGCATAATTAGAATGTTTGCATCTCATTTTACGATTTTATCTTTTATATTAACCATGAAGAGGTGAATAAACATAAACAACTTTACTATTTTTACATTTATCGTCTTTCTCGTAGAGAATAATAGTAAACGTTAATGTTTTTCCTCCTTTTTTTTTCATTTCTAGTTTTCTATATTACCAGTCTTTTCAATAACTTATATATATATTTTTTATCCCCTCCAAAAAATATATTTTACTTTTCTTTCAATTAAGCTTCCAATTGCTTAGACTCGTTATTGGTTTTTTTATTTCTTCATTTCCTTCCTTACATGCTCAAGATAAAAACTGCACCAACAGTAGTTCTTCATTCTGCTGTTATGTTGTGTCTGTCGCACGAGAATGAATATTAATCCCCAATTTTCTTAAAAATAAAGGATTTTCTTTTCGTCATATGAAGAAGAGTGAAACAAACTAGAAAAGTAACTTTGAAGATTATAAGCTTGGAAGCTTTGAAGTCATATGTTAGCATATTTTATGCTTGAAGCAAGACAATTTCAAAAGCTTCTAGCTGTCACCCTTTTCTGAGTTGTCATTATCTTTCCCTTTGGCCTTTTTTTTTTGCATTTTGTGCTCAAATTGTGATAGTTGGCATATCATCATTTCCATTTCATTACATTTGACAAACTATTTTGTAGTTTGATTTGATAATTAACAATAACATTTGATAGTTTATTCTTCAACAAAGGAAAATAGCCTCTTTTCCTCATTAAGCACTTTTTAACTATTTTCTTTGAATTGCTTCTCTTTATTTTTGTTCCTTTTTCATATTCAAAATAATTGGATGAATTATAAACGTCATGAAAACGTCTTGCAAATTTCATTTGTATGCAGAAGTTTTTAGTTAAACATTTGCTTAACAAAACTAAAGTCAGAAGCCATTTTCAAGACAAACAGACTTGAAACTTTTGATGATGCAAGGCGTTCCGTTAACTTTCTTCTTTCATTGCTTCAATACTCTCTTCTAACTATATTGATTATATATAGATAGATAATGACATCACTCTCGTTCTTACAAGTTTCAAAACGTTATCACTGTTTTAAAGCTTTGATCTATCATCTGGGGCAATATTTGAATGATATAAATAGCGCGTGAACATTTTATGAGATTTAAAGAACACATCAGTTACTATTTTTGTCATTCTTTACATTTATATTTATATTCATCTCATCATTTTGCTTTCCTTAGTTTACTTTTACTCCTTTTTTATTGTTATGAAAGCTTGTTACGTTTACCTCCTTATTCTCTATTTCTATCGTCCTCTACCAAACTCACATCACTCTCTCTCTCTCTTTCTCCCTCTATCTCTCCCTCTCTTTCACTCTCTGCTAATTCGTCAACGGTATTTCTATTCTCGTTTTTATAATATGACATCATTCTGTTACGAAATAACATAACAAAACTGGAGAGATCCTATGTCCATCATCATTACTTCCTCAAGTAGATGGCTGGGAAGACAGTTTCTTTCTCCCTATCCCCTACTCTCTCTCTCTATCTCTTCCATCTCTTAAATTTGAGAAATATTCCATATATATATATAGATATAGCCAATAGTTTGACGCTTTATCATCATTGAAATTCGAATATAGTTGAGATGAAGTGATCCAGTTAAACATCACTTATCAGATGTTTTCTTTGTTCATCTTACTGTTATGATATGTATGGATGATTTCATTCTATGTCTTTCATAATGCCCACATGTTATTCACTTCAAATTGCAAACGTCATTTTTGTAACATTTTTTATCAAAAAAAAGGTAAAAAATCCATATTCATATTGTTTTTGATTAATTATTGAATTATGCCATATATGGAAGACAAATGTAAAGGTTGAAAATTGACTTGATGATCCACATTTTCAACTTGTCTCCCTATTTGTTCTCTTTTTCTACTTTCCTTCCTTTTTTTTTATAATTTTTTTTCTATTTTTCAATCAGTTTTGTGTTTCCCTTACTATTGGGCACTTATGTCGTAGTTTAGTTCATTCCGGGGGATATCAATTGATGTTAACTATAATACACAACAAAAAAAATTTTCGTTGTTGTATTGTATCGAAGACTTCTCTCTCTTTCGTTCTTTTTTTTTGATTTCACTCCCAAATGTAAACTAGATTACTTCCATATTCAACAGGATTTATATATAATTTTCATTTATAATGTATATTACAGGTAATGACAGTTTGGTGTGAAGTTATGCAAATCTCTGCTTCTGATCTGGCTGTTGTTCTCAGACAACATTCTCAAAATACTGTAACAGACTGTTCAACAAATTCTTAAATAATATTTTTATTTTTCAGTTAATTGTCGATTGTAGAGGCTTTGCTGATTATAATTTCTGTCATATCAAACATGCAATTAATTCATTTTTCGCAAAAATTATGCGCAAAAGACTATTGGAAAATAAGGTGAGCAGTTCTTTCATCATATCACATTACCTCATTTTCAAGTTTTTCATCTGCAACTTTAGAATACTTTCATTTATTTGTTCATTTTTTCTCTTTTTTTTGTAGCCCAGCTATAATGATGAAAGAACTGACGAAAACTGATGTCATACCGTTTGATTTCAGTTCATTTCATTCTTCTTTTCCTATTTCAGAAAAAAAAAATTCATTCGAAACTTATTCGAGAGGGGTGTGTAGGGTGGGGTTGGAAAGGGGGGACAATGATAGATAGAAGGAAATAGAAAGAATCCTTCTTTGAAGAACATGGATGATTTATAATCATGTTCTTCATTATGTTACAATTAGAAAAAATGAAGATAGTGATTGGACAGTTGAAAGCGTTATTCCACTGTCTTTCATTAAGTTGGATGAAGAAACTGTTCTCTATCATAGTGGTTGTATGTGTGTGTGTGTGTTTGTGTTTTCGATATGAAATGATAATAATTTAAGTTTCTCATGAATATTCCCGATTATTCTGTCAAATCATAAGTGATGTTGTTCAAGATAGTGACTATGTCATCATTCAAGAAACATTGAAAGAATGATTCATTGTTTTGTTTGGTCAGCTTCAACATGCGACTTGATTAGCAAGCGGTGATTAGATGAAGTAAAGACAGCTTTTCCTTTCAAAAATGATTATTCCCCTTTTGAATCATTTTTTTGTGACTCATACATTGTGGGTTGTCACATCAACCCCTATTTGATCTTAATGAGAAGAACGTTCTCTGAATCTATAAAATCACGAGCTTCTTAATGTTCTGATAGTTCATCTATTTCTCTGCCTGTATGTGTGTATGTGTGTGTCATCTTTTTCATAACATTTCACCTATTCGATAACTGGACAGCAAGTCTTTTTTTCTAACAGAACGGTGTAGCTATAGGGAAATGGATGATGACGTCACCACTTTTAATGCAACCTGACTGGCTATGCTATCACGACTTTTGTAAGAAATTGTCATTGACAACGACCTTCATTATGAAGCTGCTTTTGAAAAAAAAAAGTTGGCCTTGCATCGAAGGGGTTAAGTTAGATAGAAAGAGTATAATTAAAAAGGGAATCTATACTGTTGTAAGGTAGGATGATATGAACAGAGAGAAAGAGAGGAGAAAGTGAGAGAGAGAGGTGAAGGTAAGTGAATAGGAGAAAAGACATGAAAGGAGGGGAAGCATAGAAAGTTTGGAAATAATTGAAGTGATTGAATCATCAGCTTATTTCAATATTCTTCCAATAAGATATACAAATGCAGGCTTATGACTCATATGGTTTTCATAACTTCATATGACTAATGTCCTATATTTCCTAGAAAAAGGAGTGAAGTAGTTTACAGAGAAATTAGTCACATCTTTGATGCGAAGATTTCATAAATCATTTTACATGACAACAGCATGATTTTCATGTCTTCTCTTTATCACTCTCTCTCTCTCTACCTATCTATCTATCATTTTATATTTGTTTTTAATTTGCATAGTTATTTGATAATCAAGTGATGAATGATGTCACTCATTTGACATGATTAATCTTTCTTAAGAAATAATTCGTTTAACCATGCTCTTAATGGTTAAAATTGAGTTGAATTTCTGATTGTTCAAGGGATGAATCATCCATTATTCTGATTGTATATAGGGCGGTCTTTCGATCTTGTTCGCTTTGTCATTGTTGGTATTCGAGCATATCTTATCCTTCACCGTGTAGTAAATTCTCATTCCATAACTTATATTTACGTCAGAATTTCTTTTTTTCTTATTCATTCATACTGATAGTTGACTTGAGTCTTCTCAATAACTGTAATCAGCAGCAATGTGACATCTCTTGCATTGCATATTTCCTATATACTACATACAACATTCAACTCTTATCTCATTCTTTTTTTTTATAATAATCTTGTGTTATTATAATTATTTTATTTTTTTTTTATATTTTTTTTCAATTAGTATTACTTCAAATGATTATGACGGAGACTATCGCCTACTAACGGGTTCCTCTCCCAGTTCTCCTTTCCTTCCCACACCACCCACTGAAGTTTCTTCTTTTTCCCATCAAAACGAACGTTGTAGTTTTCTGAATATTTTTTTTGTTTCATATTTTAACTAATTAAACGCCCTAAGTGTTTACATCTGATTCGTTTCAGTTATTTTGTTGTAAATTGCTTGTCTCATTATTTCCTATCATTAACTCGCTCGTTTTCTGTTGTTTCATTATGAAACAATAAGACACAAGAGCTTGCACGAATAACTATCAATAATATCATTGCGAATATTTGGTTTTTATAGGTTGATCAACGTTGTTTACTCGAACAGTTAGCTGGACCATCTTGTAGACCATTGGATAATATTATGGATGTCATCTTGTATGGTGAAGAACAGGAAAAAGTCTCAAGGCTTTGCCCTAAGCGAAGGTACTACAAGCAAATCTTTTTTTAATATTCATTCTTTTATTTGAGGATTGGATCATGTAACTTGGCCGAATCTAGTAGTAAATTGCTTCATGTGCTGAGAGATGAACTTGTTAAAACAGGAAAATTCCAAAAAATTCTTATTTTAGAAAGTTAGTTTCATTTTCGATTAGTATGAGGGTAGACGTATACGTACAGAACGGTTGCTTTTTTATCTTTCCCTCTATATCTTTTTATTATTTCAATTTAATTTAATTTACATTCTCCCTTGGCTATTTCATTTGGCTGTCTTTTTCCTCATTTTCTCTGTCAGCTTTTGTTTGTTAATGATCAGGATGATGGTCGTCACAGTTATCATCTGTTCGGTTCTTTGAGCTGCTCAAAAGACCCCCCGATGAAGTTGAGTGAAATACCTTTTTGATGACTAAGCTTCGCATCTTTGTATCTTTTTTTCCTCCGCTCTTTCTCTCATCTATCTGCGTTATCGTTTCAAAAAAGCTACCTCATGTTCGTCATCGCTTTCATTTACTCTTTTCTGTCACTATAATCTCAGTGTCTTCTTACAACTATGCTAGAATAGTTGACTCATTCAATAGAGAAGAAGAAAAAAAGAATGGAAACTTACCGTAAAGTCTGATGCAATTAAAGAAGTAAGACTTAAGGTTTCTTCTTTTTCCCATTATCGTCTACCTGATTTAACTTTCCTCCTTTTCATTAATCTGCTTCATCAGTCTTTGATTTTCCATCACTTCTTTCTTTGCTGTGGAATCTCAATGATCATTCTGACTGAATGAGAGAATTTTCCTCCTTGTTCTACTTAAATTTTATTTTCTTCTTTCCCAGCCTTATTCTGTTAGCTCTTAATGTATTTAGGAAATATAAGTAAATCTAGAGAAGAGCTCCTTTGAAAGGAAAAGTGAGATAGTCTTAGGCGTAAAAGAAATTAGATGTAATACATGTCCGAATGCATCAACTCAAGCTATACTGATACTAATTACGTTGACAACGAGTAAGAAAGCAAGACACTAGTAAACTCCACGCCATGTTGTCCTGTCTTTTCGTTTTTTTTCTCATTTACTCATCTTTCCTTAAAACCAATTTTTTTACAAGAAAAGATCAAGTTCAGATTCTGTTTGATAAAAAGCTTAGTAACAAGAGATTTGCCCTCATAGTCATTAGCAACTGGATAACAGCTCGAAATAGGTCTATTAATTTTGAAAAATGAAGCTTATTACTAATACAACAGTTCATAAAGTCCTATAGAGCTTCAAGTTTCCTTTTCTGACATTTTTTTTCAAATTTAATTCACGAGATACATTTCTCAGTTCTATTTTAATTTCATTGAAAATTTTGTTGTGAATGATTAATTTATGGCCTGACAAAAAATTCCTTGAAAGTTCTCTTACGACGAAGATATTATCATGGCTCAATTCATGAGTCAGATACCATTGCCCATTTAGTGATAACAATAACATCGTTGTTTTGTTTTCTTTGTCTACAACTTTCATTTCCGAGAAAACCTAATTGTGCTCAGATATGTTTTTCCCATTTGAAATCATTCGTGAGCTGAATTAGAAAAATCAATAACAGACCATGCATGATCGTGTTCTCATCCTTCATCTTCGTTATGACTCATAAGATGAACGAAGAAGTGAAAACGAAGAAGAAACGGAGAGTCTAGAGGGCTAGACACTGCTGTGGAGATCGATCGTGGGCTGTCATAGCTTGTTTTCCCAGCCACCGACAGAGCGACGACGACAACCACAGCCATCTACGTCTCTAGCTCTCTACTAGCCTATGTGATGATCATTTCTTTTAACTCTGCTATGTTCAGCTTCACTCCACTTCTTTGGTAGTCTCTTGTGCAGCTTGTTTTTCTTTTGCAGTCTCGCATGTGCTCCTTCTTCTCAGCTGCTCCTTGTATCATCTCTTCAAGCCTCGTGCTCTCTATTTGCGACAACTTGTCTAGGCAATACACAGTCTTCGTCTCGCTGAACTCAATGCAGCCAGCATCCCCATAGCCTCTCTTTCAGACCCTGTGGTCTCTTCATACTGGTGTTTTCTCTCATAATCTTGCCTACTCTCTCCTTCTAGCTACCACTCTCGCTCTCTGCCAATCTCCAAGTATGGCTGAATTTTCATCTGCTCGCCATCTTTGCTCCATTCATATATTCCAACATATTTGGACGACTGCCAGCCTCTCTCACTCTTAAATCTTTAACCCAACTCCAAATATTCAATAAGCCTCGAGTCATTGTTGTAACTGTTTCACAATGGCAAAACAGGAGCGACGACGTAAAAATCGTAAGAAGCGCGGAAAGCGCAGATCTGATTCTAACAAGGAGCTGCTACCTGAAAAGAAGTTAGATGAACCTATTTCATTATCCTCAACGGACACTGGAAGTACTTCACACGAAAGGTTTCCATTGTCGTTCAGGCCATTGGCCAATAATGTTACTAATCATGCCTTCCAACTTCCTCTTACATCTTTTCATTCGCCTGAGAACACATCAAGTAAGTTTTTATCATAGCTTTTGAGCTTTAATCTTGTTGAATGGATTGAATGAGTCAGTTTATGGTTGAAAATGTATTTTCAATCATTTAATCGTCCACAATCTTTTATTAAGTTAAATTCCTTCATTTTGCATTAGAAAATTGGAGTTTAGTCATTTCTCTTCACCAAGACTAGACGTGATCATCTTTCCTTTCTGATCGATGGTTTTTCAATGTTCGATTCGCTATGCTTAACATGCTCTTATCAGGTGCTCTAATCATGCGCTTTCTACAGATGGTAAACAGCCGAAAGTATAGTATTCTTTGATGTAGTAAGAGCTTAATTAGATGATTACCGAATATTAAACAATGATGCTTCAAGTTTTTCTCTTTTCATTAGAAATGAGAAGATTAGAAGATGCTTTTTTTCCATTCAATAACAAAAGAAGAGAAAGGTTTTCGGGAAGAGGTGAACATGCTCTATGACAATGTGCTCCTCCTCGTTATATGTATAATATGAGTCATCAACCATTGTCTCTTACTCGTGCATTGAATCAATCGATTTGCCATCCATTGACTGCCTGCGTTCTAGGCCTGCATTTGCTTTTTTTGAAAATCATCACAAATATATTTTACTTTCCCATTTTAATATACATATATCGTCTTTGTCATTCAGTTTTGCTTTAATTCCACGTTTGGTATAACAATATGCCAGAAGCCTTTTGTACAAAATGTTTTTATCTCCTCTGAAAGTACTCAATAAGATTTTTGATCAAGAAGCTTATCGAAAATACTCAACAGAACTGTTCGGAATAATTGTATTTTGGCTGTTTCAATAGTTTTCCGTGTGATTAGCTTCATAGTATACACCTTTTCTTTGTTTCCATCAAAACAAATCACAGATTATGTTTGATGGTGTTGGCTTACCCACAACATTACTTGTGTGAAGAAAGCCTTTTACATTCATTAAAAGAAAAGAAATATTTTTCCATTTGTTAATCCTACAGAGGGTTCGTTTCACATTTCTGTTTTGTATCACCTTTATGATTCAAATGTTTGTATAATTTGAGAGATGTTAAATTCGCAATCCCTCTTTCTCTCTCTCTCTTCAAACACCTATTTATCATTATCTTTCTCTAAACACAAAGCTTTAACAACAACAAAAGTTGTTGTGTTGTTTAGGCTTCATTCAATTCTATTCTCTTTCAACTATCAACTTTCCCCACCCTTCTCTATTCCCAGTCCTTCCATCCTTTTATATCTTATCCTTTTCCATATATACACTTCAAAATTGTAACAATGGGAAAATGAACCGAAGTGTACTGAAACTGATTGAATGGCTTTGCATACTTTTCTATTAACTGTATACACTTGCAGAAGGATTTGGAAACTTTCAAAAAGCATTCCCACAACATTGCGAAGGCAGTAGCGGAGGTATGAGCCGGCTGCCAGCCTCCGTATCCCAACCATGTCTATCACAAGTTCAAAATGAAGGACCAACTCAAGTAATGGTGTATCGGTTGGCAATTAAACAGTTTCTTTTTTTTCAGATTTTGCCTTTCCTCTTCCTGGGCAGTCAACAGGACGCTTTAGATGAAGAATCAATAAGGGTATGTTGTTTAAGAAGTGGTTTATAACTTAAATTCTATCCTTCAGAAGCACAAAATCACCCATGTACTTAATCTCTCAATAGCTTGCCCAAGGGCAGCTTCAATAATTCTTGAGGAAAATTTCATGAGAATCCCAGTAAATGATAATTATCAGGAGAAGCTCTCTCCATTCTTTGATGAAGCCTATAACTTCTTAGGTACTTACATTCAGTTTTATAGTTTAAATAATTTTCTTCTGTAGAACGAGTCCGCAAAAGTAAAGCCAATGTTCTAATTCATTGCCTTGCCGGAATATCTAGAAGCCCGACAGTTGCCATTTCCTATATTATGAAACATAAGAGGATGAGCTCTGATGAAGCTTATAGGTTTGTATATGAATCCATCTGAAAACACAATTTACGACAGAGATTAGTCATCTTTATGATGTTGATGATGAAAAGCGAAAAGAGATATTAAAAAAGCTCGCAATAAATGCTATCAACTAAAGCTTATGAAAAGCTGTCGAGATTGAAGCTTTGTATCATTTCGGCGATCGAATGAGTCATATGAGAACGAAGAATCTATTTCCTTTTACCAGCTGTTTATATTTTCATCCAAAAATTCCAAAAAAGTCACTCACTTCATTTAAGAATTTGAATTCCCACATGAACATTTCTCAATACTGACATCAATATGAGACTTATCAAAGCTTATTTAGGTTTGTAAAGGAAAGAAGACCAACGATATCGCCGAATTTCAATTTCATGGGCCAGTTATTAGAATATGAGCAGCAATTGGTTAAAACTAAACTTTTACCGGAAAAACAAACGCCGAACTGTACGAGAGAGGCAGCTAAGGTTTCCCCCTCCGTGATTATGAAGACTAATTGAAATCTTTTTCAGGTTAATATTACTTCATCGTGTTCCGTGAAAGTTCCTAAGTCTGCTTCAAGTCATTGTGTATTTATACAAAAGCCTTGCGATCCCTCTACTCCATCAGGTCTCCTGAATGAAAATGGAAAGAGAAATTTCGAAACTTTGGAGAACTGTCCGACGCCGGATAGGCCTCGAGCTCTGCTGCTTGGGTCTTTCAGGCCTCGCAGATTCGGAGAGGAATTATCATCACCGTCATCAGAGCTTTCAAAATTACGATTTGATTGTTCTGATGCTGTTCCGACTGCAGCTTCTGAATTTCCTACATCACTTACAAATCCATGCTTCTTATCCCCTACTTCTCCACAACCAGAAGAATCTAAGAAAGACAAAGAGAGTAAAAGCAGCAGTAAGCATACGTGTTTGAATCTTCTTGCTCCATTCCTTATGAAGGTATAGTTGAAGGCTTCATAAAATATAATTTTAACCAATCTGCTATTACAGGATTCCATTCATCGTCCTCGCTTACCGTATAGCTCTGGGATCTTGAAAACATCTGAACGGAAAGCTAGTCAGACCAATCAGTCTGCTGGTCGTTTGTCTACAACCACAGAAGAATCAGAGCCTGATGCCGGTTTCCAAGTGAGTTTCAAGTACATAACTTTTAAACATTCTTATTAGATTCGAAGCAAAGAAAGAAAGAAATACGAGATGTCTTAAAATCTCATGCAATCTGTTTCAGGACGGCTTCAGACCTCTATCCCCTGATGAACAAGATCGTTTATCCTTGAGTTCGCAGAGCTCTGTAGAAATTGCAGTTTCCTAAGCATTAACTATATCTATCAGAATATGTTAACCAAAACATATAGCCCATGTATAATACTAGAATTCAATAGAATTTTTGGTGTTTCTTATTATGATATGTTCTCTCTATTCCTCTCAGTATCTCTATCTTCATTCAAAAAAATGTGTATCATTCGAATTCGAAATACATTTCGCAAAAGTTTTTCTTCGAAACGGGTCTTTTTCAATAATCGAAATGTTATTCATTATTTGCTTCTGAGAGCAGTCAAACCTTAACTTCTAACTATTTTTTTCCACAAAATAAAAATTTCATTTTTTTTTCTATTATTTATTGACATACAGAAGAACGTGTCGACAACTCATCTCAGATTGGTATCATGGTTTACAAGATTTCTTGAGTCACAGTTCTATAATCCTCTTTTCCGTCTGAGTAAGATTTCAAATACTACACAAGAGCTGAGATATTTGTGAGTCATCAAAGCTTTTAACCATTACACCACGAAGAAGAAAATGGGGATGAGTCAAGTCGTTTCGAGAGCTCCGCTGATTGCTTTTGATCCGATACCATATCTCGAAAAACATTCAATCATGAAGATTCCATGTCCTTTAGTGTTTTCCTGAATTATTTTCAATCTGATACAATAAGTTTGAAATAAGTTCATTCGAGAATATAGCCCACAATCAAGGAACTATTAATTTTAATATTTCTGAAAGGAATTTGAGAAGAGATTTGTGCATTCATCAAAAGCAAGAAAAAACATCATAATGGGGATCTATAAGATATGCCGAAGCAGTATGTTAATGGTGATTGGGCTTGGTTCGAAGAACAGTTTCATTCTTTCAAATTCTTGCGCATTGAGCGGTTGTTTTTTCCAAGTGAATACGCTTTTGGCAAGGGGCACGGTTATTTTTATACTTCTATGTAGGAGTGTTTTCTCCAACTTCTCATTAAATGAATCAGCTCACTATCGGATTAAAAATAAATTAGACATTTCATTCAGAGGATTCATAGAATTAACAGCCAAATTAATGAAATGTCGCTATTTGACGTAGAGACACATTTGAAGCAATTTATTGTCTTTCATATTTATGAACAACCGACAAAGAATAAGAGAAATTATTCATTTCAAACACTTGTACAAAGTCACACTTATCGCTTCCCAAGACGTTGGAGATTCACAAGCCTTCCAGGAACTTGATCCAAAAAGTCAGGACCGAATCGATCTATGAGATGTGCCAACAGTTTGGGGTTACTGAAGAATAAATTAAGGACGTTCGGAATGTTCGGAGCTGGTATTACCTGGACATTGCTTGGAGAAATGCTGCTCTATCATCAAGCGCCATACTTGCTTGGACTATGTAACATACGGTTAGAATCCATAAAACGCACAGAATAACTCTCGCCAACATACCTAAGAGAATAACAGAGTATTTATACGATATTATACGAGAGCAAGAAAAGAATCGCTGAGAAACTATGATGAAGAAGTAAACTGGCTAACTAAGAGTGTCCTAGAAGGTATAAAAAGCAACAACAGTCTTAGAAGCTAATTAGTGGTTAGAATTAAGAACAATCCTCCAATGGCAACATGTTATCTCTGGGAGAGAATCATTAGAATAGAACCAAACGAATTAGTAGTGCTAAAGACGATAGTCTTGAGTGGCTCACTCTTCCCCATCTCGTTACACATTCATTTCCACGCTTTCATTCCATTAACTTAATATGGTAATAAGGGTCCATACTTTATAAGCCATTCAAATTTTTTTTAACTTATAGAAAAACTGCTCATAGAAACTCATTTCAGTTTTGATTTCTTTCATACAAAGCAAGAAGATTTATCCTTGAAATATTTACTTCAGTCAAGCTCAACGATTTTATTTTCAACAACAATTTTTCAAGAAAATACCACGATGGTGTTAACTTCATTCATTAAAAGAAAAACAACAAAACCAATCCACCAAGAGAGAAACAACTTCTTAAGCCTTGACATCTAGGTCTTTCAACATTTTTTGGACCTATAGTTATGCAATATTAAGCTACCCAATGAAATCATCACAAACCTCATTCAGCTTTTGAATGTGACGGATAAAATGTTCTCCAACTCTTCTGGCTACTTTGGTATCGGCAATACAAATCATGCCCTAGAGAATCTTCGATTGAAGCAGTTATAAACAATTATAAAAACCTTATCAACATAGAAATCAATCTCCGTATTTGGTTCATCATCCTCATTGGCTGCAGCCAAGTTTACTTTGCCTAACTCGTTAACAATCATCTGAAATTATGAATATTTAAGAGCTAAGAATAATGGACTCACTTTATAGGCTAATAATTTGCCTAAGAAAGAATCATACTCTGCGTCATCAACATCCATGAAAGACGCAAGCTTTTTAGTTGGCAATGAAGTGTACAACTTCAAGTAACCTCTAAGAATTGGCAAAGCCATTTGTGATTGAATGCCTTCCAAGAAAGCTTGGGATTGACGAAGGAGAGGTTCCTATAAGATAGTAGAAAGAATATCTCAAACACCACGTACCTTAGAAAGATTAGCTCCTTCATATACTACGGTTGTAGGACTCAAAAACTTGGGACAACTAAAACAATTTGAGGATAAATCAGGTTGATGGTTTAGTTGATTATCTTACCCCATTTGGAAAACTTGTTTAAACTCATCAACATCTCCATTTGCCATTCTGCTCATTCTATCTCCACTTCTAGAATTAAAAAAACATTTAAACAAAAAACAAAAAATAAGCACCGTTCGGCGAGCTGTGAAGCGATGGATTCGTCGATTCGTTGTGGTTGAACAGACAAGCATATGGCCAGGAGATGGAAAAGCTGGTCCCAAGTCTTTCCAATCTAATCAGCCGATAAAAATGAGTGTTTTGAAATAAAGAAACTCACAACATCGTATTGGAAATTTTGTTTTTTAATTTGTTGAGTTTGAAGAGACTTTGTGCGCTGGATGAACAAAAGACAGTTGACAAACATTTTAGTTGCTTCAGCGTAGTTACGCATCATCATATGAGAAAATCCAACAAAGTAATGAAGGGTCACGTAGCAAGATGGAACGGTATTGTACAAGGCCTGAACAAATGATGAATTACGATTGAATGCTTCACGTGGTTGAACCTTAGGGTCGAGTTCAACATGCTCAACCGTCTTGAGAGCTTGATGGTAATCTCCCAAGAGCACATGTGTTCGGAGTAGGCCGATGAGGGAAAAATAACCCAGTTTGAAATACAAGGAAGATTGACCAAATTGGTCACAGACTGAATCAGCGTCACCTAGTAATGGAAATTGTGAAGTTAAGATAGTGAAGAACTGTCACATACCTCCCTCTTTGATTATTTTAAGTTGTTCAACGATTTGCGACTTGGAAAGGAGAGAGTAAAGGATGTTCAACACTGGATAAATATTCCATGCCTGTGAAACACAAATTAGAGAAAAAAACTGGAAAGAGCATACATTTTGGTTTTCCTCTATGTTCATCAGCTCGTCAATTTCATCAACTGACCGTTTCGTTGGGTTAGCCTTGTAAAGACAGAAAGCTTGGAACTATAAAAATGTTCGAGTGTTAAAGGAGTGACATCGAAAAGTTACCTGATAAACAAACTCATCGATGATATCCCAGAGCCAAATGTTGGGTAGGGAGAGGGGAACAGGTTCCTTGCTCGACAATAACTCAGAGAACAAATCCTTCAAATGCTTCTTAATTTAAATATTGTGTTGGAAGTCTCACTTGATAATTCATGAAAGATTCGTAACGATGAGTAAGAGAAGGTCCTCTCTGAGCACGGGCATATAAGTGTCGATAGTATAGTTCTTTATATAGAATGATGAAGATACGGTTATCTGAGAAAAAATCTGTTTATGTACAATTCAGGTAATACCTACCTGTTCCAATGATATTCTCCACTGTGTGCTCATCAGGCCACATGCGCTCACGGAAAAATCTGAAAGATTCGTATTTCCTGTATTATAACTACCAATCACCTCTCCGTCAAATCCGGGAAAGCTTGCTCATATAAGGTATGAATTTCTGGTACATTTTCTTCTTCAACCATCTTATTGAAGTACAATAAATACTCGACGACTTCTTGGGGCAAACCATCATCATCAGCTGAATTTGAAAACGTTTAGCTAACTGATCAAATGTATTTCAGAATTACTATTAGTTCGACGACGTTCACGCTCGTAAGCAAGATCCTTCTCTGGATCTCCAGTATGGGGTTCGTATTCTACACGACGTGACATTTTACCTGTAAAACGGAATAAGTAGATAAGAAACTAATTTTGAATTACGAATTGAATTCATAAAGATATTACATAATGAAAAAGCCTCCGACGTTTGATTAGAAGTGTGGGCCTCAAATGAAGTTGCGTACGTGTGAAACCACCGTAACCGAAATTCCTAGACTGAATTTTTTGAACATAGCTGAATATCATTTGAATGTTTCGATTATTGATTCTGATGTAACTCCTCCATTAGAAATCATTTATATCCGCTATCTCTTGGGCTGTATGCTTCTGATTTCAGATATGACAGATATTGAAGATAACATGGAAGGACATACCGTTGCGACAGACGACCCTTCCAGTTTGAGCACAAATTCTGAGAAAGCTGTGGGTTTTCATGATGTATATCAAGTAAACTAAACTTTGAATCATTTTCCTTGTGTAGAATCTGCCTCCTGAGCCTTTGAGCGTTCAGCAAGAAAAAGCTCTGCAAGCGATTGAGATGATTGTTGGTGATTCTTATCCCCGATCAACTATCATACGGCATTTAAAAGTTAGTTATTTTCACGAATTCATAATTAGTGAGATCCAGAACACTAATTTCAATCGACCCGAGGATCTAGTAGTAACCGAGGTTGTGAATGCTCTGTTCGACTCTCCTATCATGGAGGAGGATAAGAAAAGATCGATCACACCACATCCTGTAAGTTTTCTTTCTCTGCTGCGAACTTATATCTTACCAGGTGCACAACACTCATGATGCTCGTAATCAAACTAAAGATGATCTTGCTCTCCCAACAATGGGACCTCACAATAAGGATATAGCGGACAAAGAACAAACAGAATTACAGAAGTATGAATTTTCACTATTCTATTCTTAATGCTACAAATGATTTTCCAGAGCTATAGAAGAGTCTTTGATAACGTCAAGCGCTGAAAAAGTTTCGATCACGTCTTATTTAGCTGCCTTACCCGAGAATCCTGAAGATATGCAAAGAGTGAACAGCTTTCCTGTAAGTTGAGGCTTTTTCAAAACAAGATGAGTTTTTGAATTACAGTGTGGAATGCATAATATTGGACAATCTTGTTGGTTTAGCGTCGTTGCTCAATTATTATTTAGTATCCGAAAGTATAGGTATTTAATATATGATCTAGTGCCTCATGATAACATTCAACATGTATGTTACCATCGTCCTTGGTCTTTTCCATTTAAACTTTTCTAGAACTCATTAGAAGTTAAGTTCCTCCTGGCCATTCGAGTACTGTTCGCGACAATGGAAAAGAGTAACAAAAAGTTCATAAATCCTCTTCAAGCTTTAGAAGTTGTGAATGAGATAAGTAGGAAAAAAGATGGACGAGATGTTCTGAATTGCCAACAGGTTCTCGCTTAAAAGTTCCATTCAATTTTTCATATTTGTTATCAAGGATGCCATGGAGATGCTTTTGCGACTTATAGATTGGATAGAGAACGCAGCTTTGACCATAGAGAAAGGTAGAGCAGATGAGAGTAAAAAGATTGTAAGCTCTTTGATGATTCATGTTGAAAAATTTTAAACTATTGTAGAAAGATTCTGATGAAACTATGGATTGTGAAGAGTCATCCTCCAAGAATTTGGCATCCAAAAACAATATGTCCATAGACGATATTTCACGAAGTGATTATCACATGGATGACCAATATATTAAGTGCCCTGGAGACGGTGTGATATAGTTTTCTTCCTCTTAATCATTATTTTTAAATTACAGCAACAGCTCCTGCTGATGACCATCCTATCAAGAATATTTTTCTAGAAAAATCCATACAACGACAAGTAATGGGTGGGTGATTCAGTTTCAGTCGAGCTATTCATTGATTTCAGAAAACGGCTATAATGTAGTTAGTACCGACGTATCCGTATTGCATCTTTTAAATATTCGTTATGATAACCTCCACGATGCCTTTGAAGATGGTTGTTTTCAAAACTCAGTTGAGGTTTGGCTAGTGTTCATTGCTCTCCGCAACAAGCTTTTAGAACTGGGTTGAGTCGGCTCCTAAGGTAATGATCTTCTCTTTAAATCGGTTCCACTATGATAAGGTAGGAGGGTCCACTAAGGTTCACAAGCCTTTCCGTTTTCCTGAAGAGTTTTTCATAGATAGATATCTTCACAGGTTTTAATTTCTAAATAATGCTCGTTATCTATTCTATTCAGTAATGCTACTGAAATTATGAGTATCCGTGAGGAGTTAAACCGCATGAGGTACTGTCTTGCAGTTCTTCGTGCTCAAATTGAAGGGTTAGCGTTCTATTATAAACTAGCTCTCAACTTTGCCTTAGATTGGAACAGTTCCCTATGCCTGGTGAAGGACAACACTGTCGTCTTGCCGATGCTTTCGATACCACCTTATCCTTCTTAACGAGATCTGCTGTATTGCATAATGAAAGCAGCTTGAACCAAACAGATCTAGTTTCAAGCAAATTACCTAAAAGTGACAGTTTTACTTAGTACTATTTTGTTAAAAATCTTATGACAGGCCTTCCTGAACCTCCACTTGTTCCCGAAATTGATAAAGTTCTGAAGACTTTGCGAACTATTCAAGAAGAGATAGTAGCGAAAGAGACAGGTGATTTATATTATCTTTATTCAATTAAGTAATTGTTTTCAGAGTTAAACATGCAAGCTAATGATATAGAGTCATCAATCAATAGTATCTTCGAAAGACCAGAGCTTCAGAAGCATCGGTATCAACTTCATGCTATTGTCATTCACGAAGGCGAGGCGAATATGGGTCATTACTGGATTTACGTTCGAGGTTTGAATTGAGATTATTTATCATTACCTTCACGAACTTTTAGGCGAAAACGGGCAATGGCAAAAAATGAATGATCGCACTGTTGAAGTGGCAACATGGAGTCAAATTCAAAAGGATGCTTATGGTATTGAACTGCCAAATACGTCAGCATATGGCTTGGTTTACATTGCCGAAGGAAGCGACCTACAAACAGGTATTCGAAAGTTATTTTCCTTCATTAAATGAGCTCAAGAAACTGTGAATCAACTTCCATCTGATTTGGCTGCTATGGTGGAAAAAGAAAACGCAACTCTGCTGAATGATATAAAAAGGCATAGAATGAATCAAAGTCGCCCCTCCGGAATGATCTCTACTCAATTGCATTTGAACCCTGACAGCGTATGCATTTTTTTTCACAGCACTGGTACGATATAGTTTAGAATCTGAATGACCCTGGTGCATTACATTATTCTTTGGACGACAATATGCATCCCCTTTTCGCCATGGAGGAGAAAAAAGCCATCAAGAACAAGGTTTCAATTAACTCATAGGCGTGGAACCCAGTATTTCAGATTGATCAACTTCTACTACTCCTGCTCAGGTTATACTCTCCAGGTTTTTCATTTGAGACAGCGACTAAGCATTTCTTAGATCAACTGTTCAAATCGACAGGAATAGAAGTCTTAAAAGAGTTAGTGTATTTCCCAAGCCAATCTGACCGAGTTTTTAAGCTTGATTTCCAAGGACGGTGATTGCGATCAGCCTGAAGCTTATTTCAATCAACTGGACATGGAGCAATGTAGAAAAATATATGAGAGTGTGAGTTGATAAAATCAGTAAATTGTTTTTTTCATAATTGTTTTTAAGTTTTTCACTAACTGGTACGCCAAGAGTGTAGGTTCTGATATGCGGCAAAATGTGCTCAGTTTCTGGAAAGCGACAGGCTCACCAATGCATGGAAAAGTGTCTCGGTATATACTCGTATTATCACTTGCTCGATCCAATATCACGTTAGTTCTGAACAAATCTCGTTTTCGACTTATCATACTCTTTTGAAGGCAATTATCGGCTCTTGCTAAGCAAGAGATGTGGGAGTTCGAGCAGCAACGTAGTCATGCAGATTATACGATGTATGCTCAGGTAACGTTTTTCATGAGACACTCAAATGTGTATTTATTTTCAGCTACAAATGGGCTTCTATGATGTGATGCGTGTTAGTTGGGCTTGTGTTTCTCGATCTGTTAGTTATCTGAGCTTGACTGATAAACCTGGAATGGATTAGTAAGTTATCATGTGCGTGAGTGTTCATAATGAAAATTTACAGCTATAACGACTTCGTTAATGAATGGAGCAACGGGTTGACTCATGGAGTATACTGTTATCATGTGAACAAAATTTTTTATAAGGAAATCAGTAGTTTGGTGGTAGGTTCTAAAAAAAGTTGAATTTATTGAGTTGTATAATCAGAAGCAAGATATTCGACGGTACGATTTCGAAGGGTTCCTCACTCCTTTGAACACTTGTAAAGCAATAATTCTTCTGCCCCTTTTGGTATGAAAAAACCGTCGTTTCATAGAAGTATACTTCTAAATTTTCAGAACATTTTCACTTTTATAGTTTATGCTATTTGCCAATTGGATATAGAGAATGACGAATTCCAAAATCTCATCGTTCCTCAATCCAATCTCATCAACTCAGCAGTTATAATCGTAAAAACCTTGGCTCATGAAGAGGGCCGTACGAAAGAAGCATCTTGCTCTTTTGTGAGTTCCATTTGACGATTCGTTACAAAACTATCTGAATATTCTGTAGGTACTCCAACGAATGATTTCTTCGCTAACCGATCTGATTCGCCTTCAACGAAGCGAGGAGTTTCGATGTGTAATGTTGGATGTAAGTTGCATTTTTCATATTTTTTCATGAGCATTGTTCATTCAGGACTTGAGACGTATCCTTACTGCTTCTTTAATAGATGATTCTTTTCCTACTATGTCATTAGGTGTTAACTGGACGAATATCATAGGAGACATTGAGACTGTAGGTGTTCTACGAACTTCTATTATAATAGTCATACTTCAGATCAAAGTTAAAGTTGAAGAGCTTGAAATAGATTCAGAAGAAAGTGCCATCAGACGATATGAGCGAATGCTGGAATCTGTGGACATGATGGTCAACAATGCTGTATCAACATTACAAAACTGAGGTTTCTAAATACTGGAAAGCGGGTGATTTTTATGTAGAATACGTGGTATAGCAATATTTACAAATTTCTTCAAAGTGTTTTTACTGGTAGTTCGAAGACTCAAGTGCTTTATATTCTTAAATTAATCAGATTTCGCATTCTTTTCAAATTCCGTGTCTTTTACTTCTCCAATAGTTTGTAAAAGTGTATGTCTCCGGTGTGACTTTCGATACGGTACGCTGTTTCCCGGTTACGGCTATTCAGTTTTAATATCAAATATTTATTGATAATTATGTACATAATTTGTTGTATTTATCGAATTAATCCGTTTATACTGAAACAAAAAAAGCTAAATACTTAATAAGATATGCAATAACTTTGAAAACTTTCTCTTGTTATAAGTTCAAGTAGAAGAATTTGTATCTTGATAGATTGGAATGGAATGAGTTTGGGCAAGCCTGACAGTAGTTCCCGTGTCTTCCTGTAATAACAAACTAACTTCCCAAATTTTCTTCTCACACTCACAGTATCTCCAATGTTGATAAGAGTTTGCAACCTTGGAGCTACGATTGGTACGTTGATGATATTCTTATCGTTGCTATAGTACGACTGAAAATTATTTATTTTGCTAGTTCATTTTGGATTGGACAAACTTCAGAATTGAAATTAGGTACGTATTGCTTGTAGTTCGATTGATTAGAAGTATCAGAACTGGTGCTACATACCTGACGTTTTCGTTCTAGGATAGCGAACTCAAATAACTACTCTTACCCATGTCATCTGAGTTGGCTCTTGTTGCTTTAGTTTTGACATCCTCACAGGAGCAACTGGCTGCTCGGGGTAATCCGGCTTACTTCCCATGGTGACCTTATGGAAGTTTTCAGGATCAGCCTGGTATTTAGGTTCCTCTGACGAAGATGAGCATGTAGAATATAAGGAGCTCGGGCGTAGGACAGAATCCTGGAGAGTAAAATAGTCGAAACAGGATGATAGTTGAAATTACCGGCTTGGCTATCGGAAGAGTTTGAAAAGTAGGGGTGGTCGGAACGTTTGCTACGCTGATTACCCTTTTCGCTTTGCGATCCCGAAAATCGAAGGGAAACTTCATTTTCCAAGACTTTGGTTTATAAAAATCATACGACTCCGTAGGACCTGTCACAGTTATGTACTGTTTCCTAGTTTGTGTATCACTTTTATACCTTGAAAACGTTTAATTTTATACTTAGTTTAATTTGGACATCATACCGTTTGTTCATTTCAGGTTTTGTATAACCACACTCTTTTTTCAAATTCTTTCTAATTGAATTGCGCACTTCCCGCATCGCCTAAAACATACAGGATCTTGAATTTGTACACAGCCTATTACATGGAACAACCGCTCTCATCTGTTGCTAGTTCAAAATGACAGTCTAACTGCTTTTCTATTAGTTACTCTCACAAAAAATGTATCCAAGAGTTATCACGGAAACATACATTATCAACTTCAATAGAAGCTACTGAGAAAGTGTTGCAGATCTTCCATAAGTTTATCAGTTCACTTTTCTTCGGATCTACAACTTTCTTTAGGTAGCGACTTGTCCTCAAATGACATTTCCCAATTTCTTCAAGACGTTGGGCTGGAAGATCTATTCTGGAACGATTTATCAAAATCAAAGTTCTTTTACAAGTTAGATAGTTGAAGACATTTCATTAGAATTTAGAGATCAGATCGACATTATTCTGAAGGATAAATAGAACGCTGGCTGTTCTTTTAATTTCAACCAGGAAAAATGTCATGACCTTGTTCGCTTTGTTTCATTTTCGAAAAAGTTAATGTGATCAGCGTATAATCACATAAACTTTTCAAAATATTGACTGACCTTAATTATACGTGTATTAGTAAGGGTTGAAAAAGTAATGACGTTGAGAGAAACTTTGGAAATGATAATTTTTGTTAAAGATTAGCATTAATGCAAGACAATTCAAAAATTTGGCTAATAAAGCTGAAATAATCAGTGAATAGGCAAGAAATCGAAATGAGTCATTCTGATAAGACGATTCAAAAAGGCTTGAAATGAACTAAGTATAGTGGCTAGATGGCTTACCTTGATTTGTAAAAACATTCAACCATACTCATGATCTCATTAGCGTAGCGCTCTTCAACGTTAGCTCTATAAAATATGGTTCAAAATCTGTCGGAATTAATCTAATATTCAAAGAAATATATAACACTTACAAGTTGATCACAAACTCTTCTAGAGGATAGTCTTCCTTGCTCATATTGTGTGTTAATCAGTCTCTCTCACTTTCCTACCAATATTAAACGTAGAACCAAAATTAGAATTGAAACAGCTACACCTTGATGATTAAAACGGTTAGGAAGAAGAAACAAAATTCTTTAAAAATTCGTTTAATGGATTTCTTTTGATTGAAGAAACATCTATTGGAAAGATTCAGGAAATGACAGAAATTTGCCTAAAAGACAAATCGAAAAGAGTATTAAAGAACAGAACAGGACTGATAAGCGATAGAGGAAGAAGGTGGGAAAGAAGACGCTAAGAAGGCTATAGAAGCTTTATAGACATACTAACAAGGCAATAATAAGAAAATACTGAATATGAAAAGTCGAAAGAGAAATATATCTGTTCTCTGACCTTATATGGGGCAAGTAACTGGGAAATTAGAAAGAATTCTTCGATGCAAACAGATAATTAAATAACAGTTGGTCTTCCTTAAGGTTTTTTCCGACACTATTCACTGTCCTTCTGTCGGATGTGGGTGTCCCCTGAAAACAAAAGAATTTCGAACAACATTCTTGAAAGAGCTCACCAAACTTCATGATCTTCCCACATTGAAGAAACCCTGTTGAGGATAGACGGTGAATGCAACCGTACTGTATTAGGAGTAATGATGAGACAGTTTCCATTTGAATGAATTTATTTCCTGAGAAACTCTTTATTCTTTGCACCTTTGTATCGATCTTATTCTCTATGACTAGGAATACACTTGATGATATGAAAATACAACTTCATTTCTGCATTTCTTGCTCGCTGAATAATATATGATTTTCTACCTTTCAACATGGTAAAGAGAAGTGTATAGCAAGAGTTCAATATTCAATATCACGACGAATGTTCACGTACGGCGCCCCTGAATGATTCAGTCTGAATCAAATTGATTAACTTCTCAAACTCGCTAGGTCAATTTATCATTTGAGAGTAACGTAAACAAAGTCATTGTGTTTATTACTTTTGTGAAAGCTTATCAATGACTGAAAGAACTCCCGATTATGATACAAGAAATAATTCGCGCCTAATTAATTTTCTTCTCTCTGGTATTGATGGGGGGTTCGTTAAGAAAGCCCCCCTTTGTAGCCCTGACGATTATTCAACCCTTACCACTAAATCAGCAGCATTAGGTCAATTTCCTCTTTTCAACAGAAAGTTTTCAATTGTCAACGGTATTATATCAGTTTTATGCGGAGGAGTTGGAGTTTACAGCATTGTTAGTTCAATAGGTAACTTTATGCTTGAATGTAAGAAGAATCCATAATCTATTTTGTTTCAGTTTTCGATACCAGTTTGGCTATCACTATACCTGTAGGAATAGTGTCATTTGCATTTTGCGCTCTGTTTGGTTCAACACTCATATTTTCTTGTAAGTACAGTCGAAATTTCTACCATATTGCTATATTAGCTGGCGCCCAACATCGCTATGTCCTTGTTGAACTGGATTGCAGCAGTGGTGGAGAAGATCACTCAGTACTTTACGATTGCATAACTAAACAGAAAAGACGCAGATTTGGAACTTACACTAATGTAAAATGCCAAGTTCTACAGTCCTGCCAAGACAGAAACCCATACAGTGAGATTGAGAAGGTTTTTCTGCGATCATTTTTCGAAAAATACAATATCACTTTTTCAGGCATTCGAAGAAATGCCTGGTAAACTTGGCTCTCCATACAATCCTTTCGCTTATAACTGCAAAGATTGGGCAGATGACCTGTTCGCCAAGATCTCAAATATTGAGAACTGATAGAAAATTTCGGAATGATCCGAGTTTTTACTGATTCACTAAAATCTACATTTCTCATAGTAATCGAGTTTTCTTTAAACCGAAGATTAGTTCTGTTTTCTCAAATATGCATAAAGCCCGGATCTCTCCTAACTGGACAGAATCACATGAAATTGATTACCCCATTTTGATCCCAAATTAGTTAGAAATGAATCTTTTCAAAAAATCCTACTTTTCGCATTCGACTTGTTGGTTTTCCGCACAACACTTTACTGAAGATGAAAGTCAAAAGAAAAGGCAAAAGAGGGAGAAAAAAATAAATTGTACTGTCATAAAAAAGATTTTACATTGGTTTCTTCGCAACAAAAAAAGCACAAGTATACACAGACCTCAGCATAGATCTCATATTGTTAGTATAGTTTGACTCTATTTGTCGCTCTTCTTCTATCACAAAACCGACTTCCGATATGATTCTCATCAGATCCTTGTAAGGAATCTCAATCGATGCCTAAAAGCGATTGTCAATGGAAAAGATTAGTTGAGCTCTCTTACTTCCCCAGGAACATCTTCAAAGTGATAAGTGAGCGGGCCAACATTGATCCAGAGCCCACCAGGCTTCAAAATTTCGTATATTTTTTCTTCAGTTAAAGTTATTTTAGATTCATCATGATTATATGCCAACCTATGTAATCCAGTATGTTATTCGCAGTATCTATGAACCAGGCTGTCACCACGCAGGACCATATATTTTCTTTCTTCTGGGATTCTAAGAAAGTTCCTGCCTCCATTCCAAAGAAATTTTTTCTTTTCTTTCTCTGGAGAGAAAATGAAGAGAATATTTTTCTTATCGTACCTCTTGATTTATCTCAAACGGACATATATCTGGGAATGAGACAGCTCTCGTCTGATCTTCATAAGACCAACTATTACTTTTATCGAAAATATACGGATAGATCGTGTGTTCATTTGCCTGACAGACTTCTTTAGACTTCACCAATGATGAAAGATTACCTTCTTACAGACATTTAGTATGTAACCCGAGAAGAAAAGCATGAAAAGACTGCACTCGTTACCTATGACGGAAAACCCATTCAGAACTAGTTCATACGGTAATCGACCTAGGGCGGATTGTATGGAGCAAGATAAAGGTTCATTTACCTAAGCCAGCACCTGGACAGAGGATAGTTATATCGTGTCTCATTTCTTCATCAGGGAATCTTTTCCGAAGTTCGTCAATAATGGGATTGAAAGTGGCTAGTCGATCTTCTCTACCTATGAATGATAAAGTATACGATTATACGTTATATCATAGACATACCTTCATCAGTCCATTCTCGCACTAATTGTCTAAATGAACTCAATACTTTTGACATAAAGTCAGGCTCTGGTCTCCTGCATAGTAAACTATGAAGAAGCAACGGAAGTATGACAAAACAACCTCAACTGAGTTATCCGTGTTACCTTCTCGAAATCATCGCCAAACATTTCTAGACTTATGGGTATAATTTTTTTAATCAGTTTATCGTTTTCCAGCACACAACGTAATACTTTCTCAAAATGAGGATTACGGGGAAAGTTGAGAAGTTGTTGATGAGCAGGTGTGAGCTTCCTTAAAAAGACGTCCACAAAAAGCGTCAGTATTCAACAACACCTCATTTCTTTAGCCATCTTGAGAACTTTCTCTCGGCCGTAATCCTTATAATAAAAGAATGCGTTCACCACTTTTTCTGCAGCTCTAACATCTTCTGTTAAAGGATCCTATAATTTTGCAAGGAATAGTGTACGGCCGAGTGCCAAGAATAACCTCGTTTTCAGTCGCAGTATCAGTTGGATCAGGGCGGTTCTCTGACCGGGGATCCATCTAAAAACAATTGGTGATTTTCTAAAGTCATATCGACAAAATTGAAGGTATTTGAACATGACACCAAAAATTAATGAAAAATTGAGATAAAAAATTTATTCATAAAACTAAACTTATATCAAAGAATCGAGTCCAACGAAATCTGTGTCATCCTCGATGAAAGAGCTCATTAGATCTGAAATCGGAACGTTAGAACGCCTAAAATAGTTTGAAATTTTCGAGTTTATGACAAGGTTTTACCGGTTCCTTTGTACAGGTTGACTTCTCCCATTGTTAGCTATTCTGGATGTTTGGCGTTTAATTGACTCGGCTTCAAAAGAATCTTGAGAGAAAGAGAACGGAGCTTCGGTCCTAGGAATGATTTGAATAGAATTTAATTTATTTTTCTAACTTGGATATCTTCTTGGGAACAGTCTTGCATACCGAAGGCATTTCATTCATTTCTAAAGTGTTGAAAGTGAGAAAAATCGAAATTCAAAGATGTTTTTGTAATCTGCGGAAGCGAAAAAAACATACTGTCCTGCCAGAGTTCTTCTGTTTCTGAGGGAGATGATGAAGGATTCCTATCACTGTCCAGTAGCTTCGATGAGCCACCAACTAAACTGTTCCGATGCGACGGGTTTGATTTCGAGATAGAACTAGCCTTCAAATCGGCTATGAACACAATCACGAGAGATACCATACCTTTTGCAATACAAAGTCATCATTTTCAAAAGAATCGTTGAAACTGCCTAGTAATAGATACTTTAGGATGCTAAACAACAACAACAAAACTTTTAGAGACAGTCTTCTGCGGAGTTTCTTGGAAAACGTCAAAACTGTCATCAGGATTTTGAAATTGTGGCGGTTGTACTTCGTTTTGCTCAATAATTCTCTCAAAGGAAGATATTTGAGAAGGACTGGGTGAAACATCTAAGTAGACAGACATATATATTGGATTCAGCATTACCACTCACCATGTCTGGTAAAAGAACTTTCTATCCGCTCTATGACAGGTAAAACTTCAGGAAGTGGTGTTGTCTCTTCAATTATCTCTTCACATTCTGGTATATATGACAACACCGATATTTTCTTATCGCCCTAGAGGAACTGTGGTTAAAAATATTGGATAAGATTTCACTTTTGAAATTATAGGAGTAATACAAGAAAGTCCAGGAACGGACTTCTTCAGGGACCCGCCCTTGTATGGAGTAGAAGATGCTAACGGAGTAACTCCTCTCTTGAGAGACGGAGCTTGAGCTTTAGGAGTTATCAAGTTTCGTTGGATGTCATCGTCAAAACTGGATGAGAGTGAATCAAGCCTCTTCTCGGGGGGAAGAAAAGGTGTCGGAGAAGAAGGTAATACGGTTAGTACTGTGATCTCGTCGGAATCTGAACAAACGAATGACATTATTGAGAATTGTTATAACCTTTATTAGTTTTTTGCTGTCTTCCTCTCGGAGTGTTGTTGACAGAATTCACGCTTCCACTCATGAGAGTAGACAGAAGTGATTCATTTCTTCTTGCTAATAGTAGAACATCATCATTATTACAGTTCTGTCTACTGCCATGTCTAATGAAAAATGTCAGCAATGAAAGAATATGAAACACACTTGGAGAATGCTAAAAGGTCAGAAGTCCAATGAGTCGTTACAATATCAAATATCAAACCAGAGACTTTGGATAAAACTTCTTTTGAAAACTGAACATCTGAAATGAGAAAAAAAGATCCAAAGTAATGGAGACTTACTCGTACCTTTACAATGAGAGCTCTGTATATCTTTCTTTACTTCTTCTGAGGTCTTTATAATTGATAAATGAACAGCTTTGATCACTTCCTTTAAATATCATTAACAGTAAATATATAATAATTCTTCATTTCCTACTATTCACTCACACAATGAACGTTTAACTTCGAATAAATGAGGTAAGACAAGATCAGGTTCATCAATCAAATGCTTTAAATGAGAAGAAATAAAACTATCAAATGCCAAATTGGGAGAATATATAAACCTTTTATCAGAATCTAAAAGAGTTAAAAAAGCTTTCAAACTACCCTTACGATAAGGAGAACATAGTAAAACACAACCATCTTCAGTAAGAAGTTTATCAAACGATTCAAGGAGTAAGGAATGATACTCTTCGAAGAAAACACAGTCAGCCAATAGTATCAACTCGAATTCTTGGCTTACACCTTCTCCGAACAGTAATAACAGAGAAGAAATATCAGATAGCTTGTTGTGAGAGATGATGTTCGCTAGTGATCTCACCGAGTTAGCGTTGCCATCGGTCAGAACCACAGATTTTGCACCAAAAGAGGATATAATCCCAGGCAACCCTAACAACCCTGCCCCTAGTTCCACTACAGTCTTTTCATTAAACAAGTGTTGATTGTGAAGAAGGAAAAAAGCCAAAGACTCACCCCCAGGCCATAAACGCGCGTTACCGGTGTTATCAAAACCTTTCAAACTATTAGTAGACATACGGTCAAAACAAATTGGGATCTCGAGAGATATGCTACAGATTTCTTTGCTTTTCAGAAGGTAACTCTCGCGAGTGCTGGATAATTCGTTTCTGGCAATCTCGAAGAACCCAAGAGCGCTTTGAAGAGGATCTGCAGTATGAGATAAGGCTTTACGAATCTTCTTCGCAAACATAGACCAATTGGTTCGTGCACGTTTACTTCTCTATAAAATTTCCTCGAAAAGCTCATGGAAACATTTATGAAAGCAATAGAAATTACCTCTTCATTGATAAAAGTAGAAAAACGATTCGCAGCTGCAGCACTATCCAATCCCTCGTCATCAGCATTCTTTTCTTTGGCCGTTCTACGCCTTTTCATTCTGAAATTTTTCATTTAATAAAGCTCTAACAAAACAATAACAAGTGAAACAATAAGAGAACAACAATGATAATCAACAATTTAAACATTTAACATTGGCCTCTTTCAATTTCTGTTCTGATGATTCTTTAGCGCATCCATCGCGTATGATCGAATATCCATCAACTTTTGAAAGATCTATAATAGTGCTTCCCAACCCATTACTAGTGTCTATAACACCTCCGTCGATCACTAGGTCGATATGAGGAAGTAATTCCGCGAAATCAGGTAAGCTTGTCGGATTCACTGTCGATCCACTCAAATTGGCTGAGGTTTGAGCTAATGGTTCATTCAACAAATGGCATAGGGCACTAACAAATTCATCACAAGGAACACGAATCCCTACATTATCACTATTCGGATTGAAGAAACGTGGCAATGATTCTTTCCTTTTGAATAGTAGAGTGACAGGGCCCGGAAGAAGTTTTCTTGCAAGTTCGGGAGAAATAGTTTGCTGAGCCCATTTGGAAATTTCATCGGCCGATGATAGAAATAAACCTAAGGGCTTCTCGTGAGATCTTTTTTTCAAGTCAAACAATTTTTCAGAATGCTGTAAGAGGGTTGATACACCATATATTGTGTCAGTTGGTAACGCGATTATTCCTCCTCTTCGTAATACACGGCTAGCAGTTTCCAGCGCTTCCTCAAAAGTTTCGGGAGCAAGTTTCAAGATTTGAGCTACGGATCCTATTGATGTAGAAGGCATTACCTCAACAGTAAAATATAGAAAAATTACGAGAAAAGAATCTAAAGTAACAGAAGAATAGAGTCTGCTCATGAACTTGGAATTGCAATTAAAAAATATTTGAATTATTTTGAATTTAAAAAATATGTACGTAAAAGAGCGTTGGCCTACCGTACTTCATATTCAAGTTATTAAAACACTGTAAGTGCACTTCATTCTGTTAAGCTCGTCGAATGAGAGGAAACCATGAAGTGGACAGCCCGACAAAGAAGAAATACAATATAGCGTAGGTATCTTGTGATTACTTTCAAGCTATTTTTTTTATTAAGATTAGTTTCTGATTTCTTCTGTCCAAATGCTGGAGGTGTTGAAACCCACATTTACTTTCTGGGTGAATGTTTAATTAAGCTGGGGCATAAAGTAGTTTTTCGATATCTCAGAGCGTATTCTAAATTTCCAGGTTATTGTTATTACACATTCTTATGAACAACGAAAAGGTGTTTGCTATTTGACGAATGGTCTCAAAGTAGGTACAGAAGCATTTATGAGCTCAGTTTCTATTACTAGGTTTATTACCTGCCATTTGTTGTTGCCTACAATGGATGTAGTTTAGCAACCATTACTGGCAGTTTTCCTTGGTTGCGTAAAGTATTTCTGCGAGAAAAAATTGAGCTGGTACATGGGCATTCAGTAAGGAAATTTGGAAAAAATTTCTCTAATCAGATTCACTTTTCTAGACTTTCTCATCTATGGCCCATGAAGCTATGTTTAACGGATGGATTATGGGTTTGAGAACAGTGTTCACTGATCATTCTTTATTCGGGTTTGCCGATGCATCGGCTATCCTTACAAACACTTTAGTTCTTCAATACTCTTTAGCTAATGTTGATAGGGTGATATGTGTATCTTACACTAGGTACGTTATTTTTTCCAACGTTTTTTTGATGTTTGTTGCGTCCCAGTAAAGAAAACACAGTTTTGCGTGGTAAGCTGAATCCTACAACCGTTTCTACTATTCCGAATGCCATTCAAACATCTTTATTCTACCCAGTGAGGTTTCTTGTCGAATCAGCTTTAAATCCAAGCTTTATAGGATAAACAGAAGTTTCATAACAATCCTACTACCATAGTTTTCATTGGTAGACTTGTATACAGGAAAGGAGCAGATCTTCTTTGCGCGATTATACCTAAGGTTTGCTTTATATTCAACTGTGGATGCGCTGAAATAAAAACTGAATAGTTCCGAACTGTTTCGTTTAGATATGTAAATTATTCCCGGACGTCCGTTTTGTTATTGGCGGAGACGGTCCTAAACGGGTCGATATGGAAGAGATGCGAGAGAAGTACAATCTCCACGGAAGGTATTTCAGTTTTCTAAATAATTTAGTACTTTTTCAAAGAGTTTTGATGCTTGGAATGGTACCTCACAACATGGTTCGGGATGTTTTAGTTGAAGGGCAGGTTTGAACCACTTATATTATTGTACGAGTTGCATATTTATAAATAAATCCAGATTTTCATAAATACTTCTTTAACTGAAGCGTTCTGTATGAGCATAGTTGAGGCTGCTAGCTGCGGGTTCGCTTTGTAGATATAGCTGTTGTCTAATCAACTGTTTTTAGCTTGCACGTTGTATCAACAAAAGTTGGTGGAATACCAGAAGTTTTACCCCCATCCTTTATTTCATTGGAAGACCCAGTCGTTGAGGGTAAGTTCTCGACACAATTTTGAAATAAGACAATCTATATTAGATTTGGTCAGAGCTTTGAGCGATGTCATCAACAAAAGAAATAAAGGATTACTCATGGACCCCGAAGAGAAACATGAAGAAGTGTCGAAGATGTACTTTTGGCCTGATGTTAAATTGTGTGAAAAATGAACTTTTAAAAGATTCCATTTAGGTTGCTTCCAGGACTCAGATTATTTATGATGATGCCATGAATGTGAAACCGAAGAAATGGATTGAAGGAATTTCGAAGTAAGTCTTATTTACGGTATCTTCTCTTATTCCGTTCAGTTATGCTCATCATGGACTAGGTTTCGGAGTACTTTACATATGGGTTGCCGTTATTAACATGATTCTGTTACTCATTTTGAACCTTTTTGATCCACCTGTACTGAATAATATTCATTCCTTCATTTGACCTTTTTTTTTCCAGGAGAAAGTTCCAGAAAAAACTAACAGGAGGATGTCAACGCGCAAAGAGAAACTAGGAGTGTCTGATAGGTCCAAGTGTCGCAATCGCAAAGAATGAAATCACCTCAGTTTATATGAATGCTTATTAATCCATAAAACATCAACTTCATATCTAAAGTTCTCGTACTCTGAGCACTCAAAGTTTATTCAAGTTTGAATTGGCGCGCTGGTCCAGCCATGGTCTCGATCGCCTGTCCGAGTCGAGATAAGATTTGCCAGAAAGTTGAGTCAAAAAAATGAAAATTGGCCAATCGACACCAAACTTGGTACATAGGGGTATCAGAGAGCGAAATCCTCAAAAATCTGAGTCTCATTTTACCTAGATGTCTAGAACGGGATATACAGGAGCTCAAAGTTTATTCAAGTTTGAATTGGCGCGCTGTTCCAGCCATGGTCTCGATCGTTAAAATATATATTGATATGAACGGTACAGTTCTGTTTGGTTCGTATACTTTATTCATAAATGTGGTAATTATAGCTCTTACAAAATTATTATTTCTAAAAAACCAGTTTAAAAAAATGAGTTAATAAATCTTTCGAGAAATAACGCTATCGGTAAAACGAGCCGAAAGCATTGGGGTCGTAGAAATACTCGTAACGACACGTTGGAACTGACTAGTTTGCTGGACTGAATTGTGCATTTAAGAAAAAAAGATGCATTATCACATCTTAATAGTCTCGGAACAAATAGTAGAGAATGATTTGTTAGCTCGCTGTTTCTTTCCCTCAGAGCTGTGGAAATATCCGTACCCAAAATAGATAAGGAAGCCTAAAAATGTGTTCGGTTCCATTAGTCAAGTTGATTTACCTATAGCCATCCAGACAAACAATCGTACCCATGTCAGAGGATCCAAAAATGTTATCATAAATATATTAATGAGAAGTGACACAACAGGGATCAGAGGCACAAGGGGAACCTTACAAGCAATCTCATTGTTAATCAACTGAATATTCTTACCTTGAACGACATGTCATCGTCGTTCTGTTCATGAAACAACAAACCAATAAATCCTAACCCACTCAGTAATACACCCATTCCGCCATTAACAAATCCAACCACATTAGTCAGACCAGCTAAAAATTCTTTGTGAAATCTCCAATAATAGAGCTCACCTAGGCGTACGCTAAGAGCCAACCAGAAAAACCCGGCAACTATCATCAGAAGACAGTATAAAGCGGAGCTTCCATTTGTTACGGATTCGATAGATTTGGCTAACGGAAACCAGTTTTTCAGTTTGTTACCTGATAATTGTATGACCACAGAAAAAAAAAGCGAACATACTATTGTTGTTTTCGTGAGTTTGGTACCGTAACAGTATGATACATCCGGATACAAAAGAATAAGCCATGAGAGTTCCTGAATAATTGGAGTATGATTAGAATAGAGTATGTAAAACGAAGTGAATTATCTTAGAGCACGTACCGATAGACAGGAATTCGATCAACGTTTCCAAATCGAAAATAGCAGCGAATAAAGCATTGATAATGGTGAATACAATAACAGCATTCAAGGGAATCTATGAGTGAAGGTTGAAAAGCTAACTTTTTGATTCCAACTTTAAATCTGGAGTTTATCTTAGCAAAAAATTCGAAGATCAGTCCGTCTGCTGCCATGGCGTAAACTGCGCGTGGCAATGCGAATATACTCGTGATCTGTAAAACTCTGATTAGATTTCGAAAACCATTATATAAATACTAAGTTATTAGTCATTCCGGCTAAAGCACCAAAGGTAACAACGTAACGAGCGACTGTTGCTCCATGTGCTTGGAAAGCGTCGGCGAAGCCTGCTGTAGAGTTAACCTAAGTGATATTTTAAGTGAACAAACAAGAAAAAAAAATAAGAGAAGCCGCTTGTAACCAGAACGGCTTGCCATAAAACGCCACATCCGTTCAAAGCGAACCTTTGGTTCATGCGGTTGCGAATCACGTGAACCATTCGTGAACAACTTGGCAAATTGTAAGATATTCACCTGGTCATAAGGAACCATCAAAGTTAAAGCAGCACCCATTAAAATGTAGATAATTGTCACGGAACCGAGAGATAGAAATGTAGCAATTGGGATTGTTTTTTTTGGATCTTAAACAATCATTGTACAACAATGTGACTGTTCAAAGTTACTCTTGGCTTCTTCTCCAGCGGTAGCTAGACATTCGAATCCAATGAAAGAGAAGAAACATGTGGCAGCTCCTGCCAATGTTCCTTCGATTCCGAAAGGGAAGAACCTAACAAATAAATTCATTAAAATATTTTCAAGAAATTCGTCACTTCGACTCTCCCGTTTCCGTTGTTCCTATCCAGAGGTTGAAATCAGCATAATATGCACCTGAGCATATAACAAAAGCGAGAATCTATGGAGTACTAGTATTGAAAAACTGATTGATGTTTTCCCACCGAAATATTTAAGAAAACAAAAACTGTGTTAAAAGTAGCAGATGACTTAGCACCGTTCGCTATTACTATCGCAGATAGGCAGATAAGTGCAAAGGCTAGAAAATCAAAGTGGTTGCTGAAGAACCCGTTTTCCTAAAGCATAACTGAGCATTCAAAATATTTGTTGAAGCTTACCTCTCCTAAAACACCAACATTCTCCATAGTCCATTTCTTTATTCGATTATCTATTAGCGAATCAAAATAACCCGACCAGGACCGTGCCACAGCTATGATTTACAACTCATTTGTTTGAACTTTCAGATAAAAAAACAAACCTGCTGTACCAATCATGTACTCCAAAATTACGGTCCATCCGATAGCGAAAGCCCATACTTCTCCAACACCCACATAGGTATACGTGTAAGCACTGCCTGCTCTTGGATATCTGCCAAGTGATCAGAGTTAATATATTTGATGGACTTGCGTCGGTATGAACCGTGCTCCAAACTCAGCGTAACTAAACGCGGACAGCAGAGCAGCAATTCCAGCAAAAAGAAAAGATAGTATGACTGATGGCCCTGCCTTCTCACGCACCACACTCCCTAATTATCAGTTTCACAGTATTCTTCATCAGAAACTTGTGTTTACCTGTTAACACATATATACCAGCTCCAATCATCTGGCCTAAAGCCAAGCATGTGACATCTACCACTGACAAACATCTTTTCAGATCAGTTGATAAAACATCTACTTGTATATATTAGTTTGAATCATTTGAGAAAAACGAACTTTCTTGAAAAGTTTTCTTCCGAAACAATGAGCTGAACCAGGATTTTCGGAACATTTCTGTTTTATTATAAGCTGCAATGGCAGAGTAGAAAGTTAGGAGTTTGACAAGAAAGTTCGATACAGAATCATTGACACGGAAATGTTTTTAGTGATTGACAACAGTGAGGTAGGATTGAAAAATATCAAAAAACTGGATTGCCTAGCTAGGATTGTTCGGATGTATCGGGAAAATATCTTTTAGCGAATAATATCAACTGTTAGCACATTCATGGATACAGAAGGGATGAGATGAAAGGAAGATTGTAAACAGAAGATATACAAATTATGAGAAATAGGGGGAAGTAAAATGAGAATCATCTCTTTGTCTCCCACTAGGGCGTCTTCTAACATCATCTAAATTCTTGTGATAGAATCTTTCCGTTTTCTTTCTGTTTAAAATGTGATAAAGTTAGAAATTGGAAGATGCAATCATCAGACACGTGTGGAAAGAGCGATAATCCAATAACTAACAAGGCAAGCAGGTAGACGACATGCAAGAAACTTGTTCGGTTGAAGTTTTAAGTAAGAGGACAGTGGATAAAAGTGTTGTAATGGTGTCCAATGTCCAAATGAAGATGATTTAACAAAAGTATAAAAAAGGATAAAAACAGAGAAAATCAAATATACGATAAGAAATGATAAAGAGGACACAATTTGTTTACCCAAAAGAGTAATATCCTTAGGTTGTTTGCTGAAGAATGGAAAATAACATTGTCATCACAGAGTTTAAATTTCTAATCTTCTAATAGCATTCTGAATTAAAAAAATAAGTCTCGGCTATGGGAACTACACGACAATGCGAAACCTCTACAAAAATTTCACAGCGCAAAGAGTAAATAATTGAAAGGTAGAATGTCACATTAGGATTTGAAAGAACAAAAAAACTACGACTTCAGGAGACCAAGTGTACTTTCAAGTATAAAATCGAATAATGTATTTAGTTAATGAAGGACAACTTGTTGATCTTTTGCTATGTGAAAGAGAAATGATTAGCATGCCTTTTTGGATCAAAATGGTCAAAAACTTGATTTGAAACGAATAAGGAAAAGATATTAATTATGTTCTTAAGAGATCTATCCAAAGAACGACTGTTCTGATAGATGAAGTATGTGTTTTTCGTAAATCTTCTACGAACTTTTGTCAAAATAATAGAACAAAGCTAAGAACTGATAAAAAAATTTTAGTCTAACTTTTCATTATAAATCATTGGAGAAACTTGAATTTTCCGTTTTATTACAGAATTCTGTGACTTGGCAATTAGTTGAAGCGCTTAGACTTTTTGAAATATAAAAACTGTTTATAGAAGTATGTGTTTTCGATTCTCTGCTTATCATAACATCAAGACTCCAAAATAAAGTTCATGTTTGAGTTTTTGCTCGTCCTCCATAAATTCTGTTTTTTTTCATATCTACAAATGAAATATTTTAAAATATAAACAATTCGTAGTGATTTGGATTAACTATTACTATATACAATATGTATTTACTAACAAATTTTATAATAAACCAATTTAATAAACCTTGTTATATTTAGAATTACTCAGAGACAACCGTTCAGCCCGTCTTCCATACAATAATGAAGCATCATTTGAGCTCATTTGCATATACGCGTATATTGCGCGCGCGCAAAAACAAATTTAAAATTAAATGAAGCTGCAACGTTTTATTCATAAATGCTTGTTAATTGAAGTGTCATAGTTAAAACGTTCGAGAATATATAAGTTCACAAATTATATTTGTTTTCCAAGATGGACCGATATCTGCATAATCAATTATTAAAAGCTTCAGTGCATTATTGAATGGGTATGATCAATTGGTTTACGTTGTGGAAATAATGAGAAGATGACATCGTTCATTCCAGATAAAGATCCTTCTTCGCTATTATTAAAAGCTGTAGAAATCATCGACTTTTGTAACATTCTGAATTAACTGAATCATACGCAATACCCTAAAAGGACTCACTCGTCAGCTGTGTTCGCTTGTTCCCGCGTTATTTCAGTTATACCAGCTTTTTCGAACAGGGCGCGTATGCAAGACAGAGCTACAGGATCGGTTGTTGGTTGGACCAAAATCTAAAAATCAACTATCATGTAAAGTTCAATTTTTGAAATGTTATGTTTCATGTTTGGAAATCACTAGAGGGACCAACTCCAACCAATCGAATACAGGGTCTGAGAAACCGGCTAAATACATGGATTCTACAGAACCTGTAATCGAGCGGAAAAGTATCTAAGAAAACCAATGAAGATTCACTTGGAAGAATCATATTATGAGTTGGTGATGAATAATTTTTGGCGTTTTAGTAAAACTAAATGCCTTGAAGGGCTAAGCCTAATATGGCTAGAGCTAGTAGCAAGCATTGAAAGAAAGGAAGAAGATATGGCAAAATGGAGGAGGTCCAGCTCTTTCTCTATATCTCTAATTTCACTCTCCATATCTCATTCTCTCTACGATTTCCCTTTTTCTCTTATATTCTCTTAACGTCGCTCTTTTTGCCTCAATTTTCTGTTGAAAGCGAAAGATGAGCATGTTGTAGATTGAGAAGAATGAAGAAACATTATTGAAACGAGAGAGAACAGCATGACACAGCAAGTATAGAGAAGGGACAGCTATGTTTAGCAATCGGACCACCATATATGGTGGAGGCGTGGTCCAGAAATGAAGCCATGTGGTCGATTCTTAGATTTAAGAGTTGACTAGTTGGCTAAGGGAAACAATTGACCTCATGAATCAGATGGCGGGCAAATGAAGAAATGGATGAATGGCAAAAAGCTCATTTGCAGAATCAAAAACAACAATTCGAAATAAGGAATTTCTCAGTTCCCGAGAATCGGGTCTCAGGTGGTCTGTCCTCAACTAAACTAGCGTAATAAAGATTCACTTCAATAAAGGAAAACGACAGCTTCCAACTCATACATGGAAGAAATATGCTTTACGTCATAACTATTTCCATCATTCTTGCATCTTCCTCTTTTGACAACAAGAAAGTCCTGCCCCAAACTTATAATTATAATAATCCTATAGAGATGCCAATCAAAGCCCTCATCTTTCTATAATTCTATGCATCATTCTTCACAACAGGACATGTGAGGAAGTAACATCTGGCCATGCTGTCCTAACTACCACAAAAAATAAAACTGTTAATATTTAGCATGCGAATAGTGGTCAACATTTTGTTCTTTCAACACTGATGCACTCTCGATGCCTGCACTCTCTCATTTAAGTACTTTCTCTTTTAACTTTAATGTATCTCTGATTAGTTGGTTACGTCTGCGTCTCTAAAAAGTATGTACTGTCTGAACGAATTGCAAACTATAGCATGCTCACAGAAGGTTTTCGCTAATCATTTTGGACGCATCTGCCCAATTAAGGGTATATTCAATCAAAATATCTTTCGCAACTGTGATATTTACTTGCCATATAACTTTTGCCTATGGTGTTTTCATGATCAATTTTTGTTATAATCTTAGAAATCGCATCCCTCTTTCTCTAATAAATACTAAGTATCTGAGAGATAAGACAAAAATCTAATTTGAGAGATTATTTAGAATTAAGAGCCAACTAGACAATCACCGTCGATTGTCTGAATATCCCAAAGAGATGTAAACCATTGAAAACCACATCAAATCGAGAGAAACAGAAGATGAAGAAACAACGGATGACCAGGGCCAATAGCTTGCCAGATGTTCTAAGGGAGTATCTTTCTGTGTTCGACCGACCCACACAGCTGCTACAACCTCCCATAATCCCACTTCTCATCTCAGTTTTCTACTACCACGACTATTCTATGCCATTCTTTCTTTTTTGTTCCATCACAAAAACGCTTCATTGTCGTTTCTCAGTTTTACTCAGCTATATTACGGAACCTGCGCCCCCTTCCCACTATCCATCGGATACGGTAAATTTCACACGGAACCAACTCCTAAATATCTCTAGGAGCTTTATGGAACAGTTCGATTTAAAAGTTCAAATCGGGATGTTACAGTTCCCACGCTTTTGTGAACTCACAATTTAAAAAATGACCAGGAGCAACGGAATTATGTTAGCTCCGCCCACTCATAACTCCGCCTATTCTAACAGTCTATAATATCAGCAGAAGGTTAGATGAGTAAATTTATTCTTGTCTTGTATCTCGATATCCCCCGCCACGTGAGTGACTGCGTTCATGACTATTGATTATATTTTCTACGGGAGCTGTCACTATTGCCTTAGCTTCATTCGAACATGTGTTTAAACGAAGGTAAAATTTTTTTCAATGATTCGCTCACATTTTTTTCTGAATTTCTGTCCGACGACAGGATCCGTTAATACCGGTGCCACTGATGGCTTTCTATAGGTATCACAGTTCCTGTTGTTGCACGGATGGTTCAGATTTTGTATAATAATGGAGGTACATCATATCTCCATCTGTAGAAAGATTCTCGTGAAATCTGATATGAACGATATCACAGTATTCTTTCTGCGAATGGATTTATGTAATATTTGAAATGAGTCTCATGCAATTATAGTTATCATTGCAATCTTGTAAATGATAATCTGCATGATTTTTGTGGCTTGATCTTATGAGGGATTAGACCATACCGTTCAGATTGCTCTGTCTTTTCCACTATAGAAAGATCGAAAATCACAAAACAGGATTGCTCTACATACAACTCACAAATTAGTTATTTGAATAGAATGCATTGTTTGACCCTCAACCGCCATTCGCTTACTAATTCTGCACGTAATCGTGTTATGAATTTCTTACTGAAAATCTTGGAAAACGGACAAAATAAAAGAATTTTTCTCAAAAGTTGTCTTTGCCTACTTCACCGAGTGAGTAATGCTCCTCTCATCGAGCCATATCCCATCTCCTGTACACAAGTTGCAGATGTTGGCAACGTTTGAGAGGTCAGGTCGGTAAAAATATTCGATAGGAGGCTTCTTTTCTTTTTATTTAGAAAAGACCAAAAGATGAAATGAGTAAGTTACTGCTGCTCATCTGATAGGCTAACAGATTCACAATATTACAGCGCATTGTTGGGTCGTATAGCGATGGACAAAAACCTTTGCTATGACTCCTCGAGTTCTTTGAAAGCTAGAAAACGGTGAAGAAGATTCTCGGTTTTATTTACCCACCACAAAGCAAGATAGAAAAAATTAAAAATTAAAAAGAGAATACAACAGAATCGAGAGATCATGTTGGATTGGCAATTGAATGCTGATGAGTACGTTTGTCTCGATAGGTTTCCCTGCTGTTGGCCTTATCCATCTACTCTCATGAACAGACTTTTTATGCCTTTAAAGGACATGTGACATCTGTTCACCCACATGACCTATACATACAACCGATGGCATAAGCTTTGTTATAGTTAATACAATAGTTAATACAAAGCCTGCTACAGTTGGAAGTTTGAATAAAAGTCTTCCCTGTCACTCGAACAACTCTCATGCATTTTCTATCAGGAAAAAATTACAAAATGAAAGGGGTGTATTTTGAATTTCAGTTGGAAGACGGAAATACCTGCGCCATTTTAGTTATTTCCAAAGGAGGGTAAGCTTCCACATCTATGAAGTTCGAAGTACTGAGGTTCTTCCAATTGAAATTTGCAATTGGCACCGATCCAAACGAGTGAATATCCAGCTTATGTGCTTAAACCCAAACAAATCGCTTTGAAATTATGAAAGTCTAACCGTTTTCATTTGTTACAACGACTGCTTTGAGATCTTTTCCAATTTCTTCCATTTTTTCATAAAATTGAATATTACTTAGCCTCTTTTGAAGCAAATGCTCCTGATTCTATAAAGAAAACCTTGATTTCCCATCTCGACTGCTGTTGTTTAAAAAAAACCTTAAGATCATCAACGAATTGGAATGGGCAATCCCTTTCCACATCAGATTGAAGAATTTCTTTCATTATCGTTTTTTGCTTACTTCCCAATAGGCACACTTTCTCGCCAGCAGAGCATACTGAAGATAATATAAATACTATAATATACATACTCGTAAAAAACATACACAGTCGAGCCATTGTAAAAGCTAGACGATCACTACCCAATATAAGAGTTGCAGGCATTATGTGAAGACAATCCTGACAAAGAAACAAGAATTAGAAGAAAAACAGTACAATCAATTCATATGCTGAGTATGATTTTGAGATCATAACTTCAACGTGAAATAGAACAACCGTCTCGTAATGAAAAAAACGGAAATAAATGCCCACGTGAAGAGCGTCGATCTCATCACGCCGATATTCTAATTAACTCCAAAAGATTTTTTAATGATAAAAGAGGCGGGAAAAAATGAAAGTTATGATAAATCAATCAATAAGGGTGAAAATGTAGAGGGTCATTACTACTAATAAGATCTGTCATCATATATACTTTTATAAATTCTTAATCTTAGAGAATAGCGTTGTTAGGTTCAGTTTATAGAAGAAAATGTAAAGACTAGACAACATTGGTCATTAACGGGTCACAACTACGATAAGAACAGAAAAGAGAAGAAATATTCACGTGAAATTCACACATTTTGTCTTTATCTGATACAAGTTCTTGTTTTCTTATTTATTATCACGGGGAATACAGTGTGAATCTTCCAAAGAAATGACAGGAAGCCATCTTTGTAGGCAAAAAAAGGAAAATTTGTTCGTGGGAAGAGCAATTGCATGTGGTCAGAGATTTTTTGGGGATTAATTCTAACGTTTTCGGAATTAAAAAAGGTTTTAAAATATAAAATAACATCTGTGACTGAAAGTCAGCTGGAAATGGAAGATGTTCTTTTGAAAAAGAAGAAGTAGTTAATGAAATTGCAAGAAGACATTAGTGTTGTAGAATGAATTGTGTGAATTCGGAATGTCCCGGAGAACTTAAAGATAATATAGTTATGTTTGATGTAAGTATAATGAAAAAAAAATTTTTTTTAAAAAAAAACTGGATCGCTTCACCCCTTATTGCAACATGACGATGATTGGACGTCTGCTGCGAGTATTGTTGTTTGTTGATTTCAGTTTAAACAATCATAGTTAACATTGCTTTCTCCCTCCCTAACGTGATCAGACGATATTTTCGAGTTTTTCAAGGAGAGAACAGTAATGCCCGAGTAGGATCATTCATCTCTACCTCATGTGGTCAACGCTTCTCTTTTGCAAATGTCCTTTCCATCATTTCATCAGAAAAAAGTTGTTGACAACGAAAAATTCACTCTACTCTTCTTTCACTTACCATCTTTTTCTGAAAATGTTCTCTGTTTTCATTTAAAAGTATAATATTGGCTGTTCAGTCTCAATCTCAATGGCGTCTATCATTTCCTTATATTTCTATGAACATGGCAATTTTTGAGTTTTTTATTCATTTTTTCTCGTCTTCTTGTTCCATTTTAATTTCTTGGCAGCCATCCAACATGTTTTCGTGCCAAGTAGCCAGCCTCTAGGCATAGAATGTTATGCAAAGGAGAGAAAAAAAGAAAAGAGACAAACAGATTTCTGATCTCCAGTCACATCGCTTGTATATTATTCTTTTTTTTCTTTGTATTTCATATAATCAATTAATACTTAAATATTATTCAGAATATGCTAATGATATAAACGCTCTTTTTTCCTTTCACCTCCGTTTATCAGGCTGTACTTCGATATTTTTAAAAATTTTATCTCCTCACTTTAGTTAAAAACAAAACAAACGTTCATTTGTCTGGTCCGGTGATGGAATCTGATTCTCAAGGTACTTCCTTCGATTCCAACTTTAAATTCAATTAGTCGGAACAGTATCCTTGCTGATTATTATGCAAAAACAAGCTTGTCTAATAGAGTTCAAAGTGTCCAAAAAAGAATAACAACATGAGGAATGTGAGTGTGAAATAGTTTATTTTTTTTCTTTTCGAAATGAAAAACCGTTCTCTATGTCTAGCAATCTGCAACTGAAATAGTTTGAATAACATGCGTGATCAACCACGTATATCACGCATTCCAATTTTACGTGAGAGTTAGCATTTTCAAAGCTGCATTCTTTAGATGATTATACTATTCTCAAACAATATGTACTTGTGAGTCCTCATTCGAAAAGTAAAGTTTTTATATATATATATATACATATGAGGAAGATCATATGAATGTTTTCTTCACTACTGATTCTAATTGGTTTTCATTCTAGATTGACATTTCTCATAGAATTTTGTTCTCTTAAGTTTGCAGTTGTAGACGGTTGTGTCAAATTTGTATCCTCACGTGAGCTTTTTCCTCTTCATCTCTTGTGAAAAAATTCATGTTCCTTTCTATCTCTTTCCTCTCAAACGATATCTCATAGTTGAATGATCTATCACTTGTTTTCAACATTCGCTCCATTTTGCCCTTTGGTTGACCAGTATGCAAGGCTTTTCTCGTAAATATTTTTGTGGAGCTAACAAAAAGGAGTATGAGAGAAAGAGATAGTAAGAAAAAGAGAAATACACGTGAAAAACAGCAATCGAAAGAGAGTTAGAGGGTGGAAAAAGTGTTCTGTTTGAAACAGTTTGAATAGAGGAGAGATATTATAGAAGCAAAGAAACTGCGGCCGATGAGAAGTATTCTCAAGCAAGCTCAGAACGAACCATGCCTTTTGGAAACATTCTCTCTCACTTCTCTATAGTTTCAAAAATGTATTTTAATTCAGAAATTTTTATTGAAAAACAAATCTTTTCTGATTATATGATAGTTTAATACTTGACTTTCAGTCAGAAGCTGCTGTAAAGGACACGGACGTCTTAAACCTCAATATCTAGGTAAATCAAGAAACTATTTTGTGGGGAGACCTTGTTTTTTGTCTTTTTTCTTCAATTCTTCAACCATTCAAAGCGCTCACGAGTACCTATATGAGTAGTTTTAGACAATGAGTCTCTCCATGATATCTTGGCAGATGAGGTGATCTACATAAAATGAAAATTTCAGAAGTTCGAGAGGATGTGGATGCTCGTTTAGTGGACGAAATGGAGAAACGCAACGAAAATTCTACAAGTTCGTAGTTAGCTTAACTTTCTTTATTTGAATACTCTCTTTTGTATGCATTTTTGATTGTGTTTTTTCAGTTTCTCAAGTGTTCGATCAAATGAAAGCAGGAGGTGAATATCTTTGTTATCCAGTGAGGGTAATAATATTTGTTTTTCTCATTTTAGTTGATGTTGTATCTGGATTTGGTAATGAAACAATGGACGCAGGAAAACATGTTGCTTCTGCTATTGGCTCTCGAGTTCGAAAGCTCAGTGTTTCAATGAGTGATTCCGTGAAGCAAACTGCTAAAGATACTGCTAATTGGGTATCTTCTAATGTTCTGGCATCCAAGTCGGATGACATGAGAATGATGAACGGAGCGGATGAAGGTGGAAACAAATCGTTGGTTATTCACCATTCTCTTCATGGGGAAAAATGGATGCCCGACGGCCCAAAAACATTTTCAGCTGTTGAAAGAGCCCAAGAGCGCGTGGCAAAACGGAAATCTTCTGAAGAGAAACCGGAAGATCTTATATTCATGGCAAGCACACAAGGGCTTGTCGAAGCAATACCTAACGGCAATGCAGACAGTATAATGAGAGCTGGCTTGATTTCTTCAAGTGATGAAGGATTTTCTGAAGTTCCTGCTAATGATTATCAAGATGAAGGAGGTAGGCGATGTAATTGTCCTCACTATCATCATATTTTTCTATTTTTCAGAAGATCCTGAACTATCAGCTTTGCCCCCAGCCCCCACCAGCTCCCCAAATCCTGGAGAGTTTGTCCCACAGCGATTCACTAATGATGTCCCAAGCAACTTGATACACCCACGACCTGTTGTTTCTGGCTGTTGCATGAATTCAGACGAGAAAATGAGAGGTTTTACTGTGGTCTTGAAAGAAAACATTTCACTATTCAGATGTTAACGAATGGTTCAACAAGAGTGATGCTCAATCGAGCACTTTCTCTCCATTCATGACAACTCCAGGTTCTGGTTACATGCCAGCTCCTCACCATACAGCATCATTAACATCTTCAACTGTTTCAGTTGCGGGATCAGCTTCTTCGACTGGCACTTCACCTCCGCCACATCAAAAAGATTGCAGAGCTATGCGTATGTTTAACTAGAGAATGATCAACAAAAAAAAATAATTACAGTGCGCCAAGAGGCAGATCACATGTGGGGCGTAGGGCATTCAGGAAATGCCATGGGACCCATCGACGGTTGATATCAGTATATTTTCGTCTGTGTATGTACACAAATCTGTATATTCATTTAGCACTCTGTGAACTTTAGTTTTCTCTAGAATTGAGAATTTGACACACAAATGCATATTGTCAAATTGTTTTCTTTTATCGTTTATATGTGTTCATAAAAGTATTGAAACGACATTTGGTTGTTGTAAAGATAGAAAAAATAAAATTGTAAAAGTACAAAGGAGAAGCAGATTGATCAATTACATCCAATTCATATCGCTGTCTCTATTTTGTTATTTAATTAAAGAATAGATTATCTTTCTTCAACCTCTTCTCATGCTTTTGAACAAACAGATGGTAAAACTACAAAGTTCAAAATCTATATATAGACACTTTGAATGAAAACGAACGACCTTGCTGATCATTGAGCTTTCATGTATGCTCAATAGTCTTTGTGTTTTCAGAATGAACTAAATGAATGCTAAGAGTTTCCCTACCACCCTCATCACTTATTTCAGAAAATTCAGATAAGCCATCTTGTCGATCTTCTTTTGTTCTAAGAAACATTTTTATCTCACTGTTTTTCGTTCATTATATGACAGTATGGTGACTAAGTTCATCGAATTTGTTCGAAGAACTTCTCTGTTTTGCTCGCTCATCCAACACCTGACAACTATTTGAATAAAAACTCATAATTTCATTGTTTCAAACTCTCTCTCTATTCAAACTGGTTTTCGGCGCTAATCAGAAGGCAAACTGTATGATGTGAGGTTTATGTCACATTCTCTATCGTTCAAAGTCTGTTTTGCCAATCTCACGCTCCTCTTAATAGCCAAGGAATTTGTGAAAAATAGATTTGTTTTCGATTTCGATGAAGAATTTATTGGCGTCGATGATCAGAAATCGATAATATAATCAAAAATAGCATTATCTCCGCATTTAAAGCATCGTTCAATGATTATTTTTTCCATTTTAATCAAGAGTCATAGTATTTCAATGGCGTTCTCCCTCTTTTTTTCTCATTCTTTCCCTTTCACCTCGAAAAACCGATAGCACGTGATCAATAGCTGTTTCCGATGGGTTTGAGAAGAACATTTCACTAAAATTTGTGTTTGCTTGAAAGTCTTTCTCCAGTTTACATTCATTGCTGCGTTTCTACCAGATTGTGTTTTAACCTTTCTCTCTTTTATACCTCTTTCAGATAACACTTATGCTCTATTTTTGAATATTTTTAGATAATACAAGCGATAAACAATGTTCAGTTCATTATTGAATTCAGGTGAGTCTCACGTCATTTCACGTCACTCTCACGTGTTTCACAGTATTTAAACGTGAGGGTCATTTCTATTTGACTTTGTGAGAGCCGGTTGTCCATTTTCAGTTTTCATATATTCAATCTTTATTTTTTCTTTTTCAGCTAAACAAGCCATGAGCTCGTTATCAGAACAACCACATCAAGAGAGTAAAGATAAAGAAACTCATGATGATCAAAAAAGTGATGAAGCAAAACCTAAGCCATCTGATCAACAGAAAGCTGAAAATCGTAAGTTGTCGCTTTCTCTATTTCATAATCCATCAAATTGTTTATAGAACACTCAGATGTCCTCTCTGGATTCCTTGGAATGGCTCAAGAGTTAGGAAAGTCTTTCCAACAACCCCATCAAGATAATCAATCGAAGCCTGCTGCAAGCGAGAGTTCGAATGGTAATTGAATAAAGTTCAATGTTTAAAATAGATATGATATTGAAGAATCAAAACAAGATTTGTTGAGTGGTATTCTTGGTTTGGCTCAAGAAGTTGGCAAAGTTGTCGGGGAGAAAACAAAGGAAGGCGCAGAAGTTGCTAAGCAAGGAGCCGAATCTGCTAAAGATGGAGCAGCAGTTGCAGGTTTTGTTTTTTTGTTTGCTTTTATATAATCAAATGGCTTGAGACAAATTAAATAATCTTCTTTTTCCAGCTGAGAAAACAAAAGAAACCGCTGAAGGTGCAGTTCGTATGACTAAGGAAGACCTTGAAAAGTTACAGGCTGGCATAAGCGCTTTAGGTAAACAATTTCTATGATATATGTATATTGGACTTTTTCTTTCAGTTTCCAAAGCAAGTGAAGCCTACAATAACTATTCGAGCAAGGACAGCGCAGAGGAAACAAGTTAGTTATCAGTCGAACATCAAATTTTAGAAATTGTTTCTTAGTAAGCAAAGTCGATTCTGACGGTGGAAAAGTGCAATTATCTAGCACACACGACGGAGAAGAAAAAAAATCAGCTGATCAAACATCTTCTCACCGTATAGCTTTGCGATATAGGCTCTTCATTAATATGTTTTTCTTCAGAATCAGGTGATTTCCTCGGTAATATTCTTGGCATTGCTAAGGAGATCGGAAGTGTAATTAGTGAAAAAACTGCTGAAGGAGCTGAGAAAGCCAAAGAGGGCGCCTCTACTGCAGGTATTCCTTAATCTTTGATCTTTACTTATTTCTCTTACATAGCTGATAAAACCAAGCAAACAGCTGATGGAGCCATCCAAATGTCGAAAGAAGATCTCGAGAAAATTCAGGCTGGTATCGGAGCTTTATGTATGATTTCTTTTGTTATTATTCTAACTCAGCTTGATTTTTCAGTAGGGAAAGTGAGTGGCGCCTTAGGGAAAACTTCGAACGGTAAATCATAAGAGAATCGTTGCATTCGGTTCAACAAAAACACATTTTTAGAAGTAACGAAGAAAGCAGAAGAGATTAAAGAGAAGAGTGAGCCTGTGATTGATGACATTGAGGGCGAAAGTAAGCTCAGTTTTATTTCATCACTCATTAATATGATCTTTATTGCAGTTAGCAAAGTTGTTACCGGAGGATATACTGCCAGCACAATCAGTAAGTGAGCTATCTTAACAGAGTATACGTCCGCCTCATGTGCCTTCTACTTTCTTTCCTGGATGTTACTTAATGCATAATCGAAAAAAACAGGAAACCAGTTCTTCTAATAGTCTCTGTAGTGTAGTGGAAAACGTTGTTGTGTAACTTACTAAATGAAACTAACAGAGGTTGTAAATAAACTGATTATTATCCTTCCGTTGAAGCGTTTTCCTCTACTAATCTCTGTTTTTCCTGTTTGTCGTCGTTCTCCGGAACAGAGCCTTGTTTCATATAGAGAACCCGAGTACAAGAACTATTTCAGGTGAGAATGATCCATCAAATGTATCAAAAACAGGAAATAATTTTACGACTGATCAAGAAAATCAAGAAGTTCTCGATGACATGCGTGAAGCCGCAATTGATGCTGGAGATGCCATTTCGAAAGCCGGCACAAGTGTCATGGATGCTGCAGTTGGAGGTGCATCAGCTGTAATTGGTAGAACGAAGCAAGGTGTGGAATGGATGGGAGAAAAAGCTTTAGAAACTGGGCTATCTGTCATGGAAACAGTTATGGACGTTGGCGGATCTACTGTAGACGCAGCATTCGCTTCAAGTGATGGCTCTTCAGAGGTTACTCATTATCAAGACAGTAAATCCACGCACTCCGCTGGAGTGGTTCATGATGCGGTGGATGCTACAAAAAAAGGTGTCACACAAGCTTGTGATAAAACTTCCGAAGTAGGCAACTCTTTGGTTGAAGAAGCCAAGGATTTCGGTAACAAGACTTCTGATTTCGTCCAGGGAGCATATGACAAGACCAAAGAAAATGCTGATCAAGCTCATGATAAGACTTCTGAGTTTGTTCAAGGAGTATTCGACAAAACCAAAGAGGGCGCTGAGCAAGCCTGTGATAAGACGTCCGAGGCAGGCAACTCATTAGTTGAAGGAGCTAAGGACTTCAGTAACAAGACTTCTGAATTTGTTCAAGGAGCCTTCGACAAGACCAAAGACAGCGCTGAGCAAGCTTGTGATAAGACTTCCGAGGCAGGCAACTCATTCGTAGATGGCGTGAAAGATTTTGGCAACAAGACTTCTGAGTTTGTCCAAGGAGCCTTCGACAAGACCAAAGAAGGCGCTGAGCAAGCACGTGATAAGACTTCTGAAGCAGGCAACTCATTCGTTGAAGGAGCCAAGGACTTCGGTAACAAGACTTCTGATTTTGTCCATGAAGCCTTCGACAAGACCAAAGAAGGCGCTGAGCAAGCAAGTGATAAGACTTCTGAAGCAGGCAACTCATTCGTTGAAGGAGCCAAGAACTTCGGTAACAAGACATCTGAGTTCGTCCAAGGAGCCTTCGACAAGACCAAAGAAGGCGTTGAGCAAGCTCGCGATAAAACTTCTGAAGTAGGAAACTCTTTCGTAGATGGAGTAAAAGATTTTGGCAGCAAAGCTTCTGACTTTGTCCAAGGAGCCTTCGACAAGACCAAAGAAAGCGCCGAGCAAGCTCGTGATAAGACGTCCGAGGCAGGCAACTCATT